AACAGTTGAGGGGCTTTATGACCACCAAACCAACCCTGCAAAGAATACTGAAAGATATTGTAGATAGACATAAAAATAACTACAATTTCAAGAACACCAACAGAAAAAAAAAAACCACTAAGCAAGGCAAGCAATTAAATAGAAGAGAAAGGTAAAGAACCAATAGCAGAAAGATAACATGACAAAAATAAGCCAATACATATCTGTTATAACCATTAATGTAAATGGCCTCAATTCACCAATTAAAAGAAATAGACCAGCAGAATGGATCAAGAAACAACATCCAACCTTATACTGTATACGAGAAACCAAAGGAAATTCATAGACTGAAAATCAAAGGATGGAAAACAATATTCATGCAACAAGAACCAAAAGGAAAAAAAAAACTGAGGTAGCTATTCTGTTTGCAGACATTGTGAACTTCAAACCAAGAATGATCAAAAGAGATAAAGAAGGTCACTACACACTAGTTAGGGGGAAACTTCAGAGGAAGAGACAATAAACTTAAATATATATATGCATCAAATATGGGAGCACCCAGCTATATAAATAGATAATATAAATATAATAGAAATAAAAACTCAAATAAGCAAGAGCACAATTATAATGGGAGACCTGAACACCCTATTGACACAAAGACAGATCCACCAGACAGAAAATCAGCAAAGAGATAACAGAACTGAATCAAACATGTGAACAAATGGACTTAGTGGACATGTATAAAGTGTTCCACCCAACAACACAGAATATACATTCTTCTCAGCAGCACAGGAGATGTTCTCCAAAATAGACCATATGCTAGGCCATAGAACATGCTTAAGTAAATGTCAAAGAATCAAAATTATCCCATGCATATTATCTGATCATAGTGTCATGAAACTAGAAATTAATGACAAAAGAAGCCACAAAAATTCCACAAACACATGGAAATTAACTAATACACCCCTGATCAATCAATGGGTCATAGAGGAAATTAAAGAAGAAATTAAATAATATCTCAAGCAAATGAAAATACAAATACAACTTACCAGAACCTGTGGGATGTAATGAAAGCAGTCCTCAGAGGAAAATTTATTGCAGTGAATTCCCACATCCAGAAAGCAGAACAAACACAAATAACCTGATGCTACACCTCAAAAATCTAGAAAAAGAAGAACAAGTCAAGCCCAAAGCCAAAAGAAAGGAAGAAATTATAAAGATGCAGAGATCAATGCAATACAGACTAAGAAAACAATACAAAGAATTAACAAATCAAAGAGTTGGTTCTTGGAAAGAATAAATAAAATTGATAAGCCCCTAACTAACCTTATTTAAAAAGGGGAAGAAAAAAAATCTCAAGTTCAAGCAATAAGGAATGAAAAGGGTAAAATCACTACAGACTCTGGAACTACAGAAGATCACCAATTCCTACTTCAAAAATCTCTACTCTCATAGGTTCGATAACACAGAAGACATGGACAGATTCCTAGAAACATATGAACTACCAAAGCTGGATCATCAAGATGTAAAACTGCTGAATAACCCAATTTCAAAGAATGAAATTGAAAATGTAATTCAAAGCTTACCAACAAAGAAAAGGCCAGGTCCCTATGGATTCACTGCAGAATTCTACAAGAAATTCAAGGCAGACTTAATGCCAACACTCCTCAAATGCTTCAATGAAATAGAAGGGGAAGCAATTTTCCCTAACTCATTCCTGGAAGCAAGTATTACCTTAATACCAAAATCAGAGAAAGACCCAACCAATAAAAAAGAACTATACGCCAATCTCTCTAATGAACATTGATGTAAAAATTCTCAATAAAATACTGGCAAACAGAATGCAGCAAATCATCAAGAAGATCATACACTATGACCAAGTGGGATTCATCCCAGGAATGCAGCGATGGTTCAACATATGCAAATCAATAAATGTAATCTACCATATCAATAAAATCAAAGATAACAATTATATGATCATTTCAATAGATGCAGAAAAGCTTTTGATAAGGCCCAACACTCATGCATGATAAGAACCCTACGGAAAATAAGAATAGATGGTCTTTACCTCATTCTTATAAAAGCCATCTATGACAAACCAACACCCAGAATCACATTAAATGGTCAAAAAACTGAAAGCTTGGGCCAGGGATTTAGCTCACTGGCACAAGCATCTGCCTGGCAAATGCGAGGTCATGAGTTCAATCCCCAGTACAAGAAAACAAAAAAACAAAAACAAACAAACAAACAAAAGAACAACTAAACTGAAAGCTTTTACCCTGAAATCAGGAACTGGACAAAAATGTCCATTACAATCATTCCTATTCAATATAGTACTAGGAATATTTCCCAAAGCAATTAGATAAGAGAGAAATAAAACAAATAAGGATACAAAAAGAAGTTAAATTATCATTAATTGCAGATGACATAATACTGTTTATAGAAGACCCACAAAATTTTATTGAAAGACTTCTAGATGTAATAACCAAATACAGTAATATAGCTGGATACAAAGTCAACACTCAAAAATCAAAATCAATAGCATTCCTCTACACAAGCAACAAAATCACTGAGAGAGAAATAAGAGAAGCCACATCCTTTACAGTAGCATCCAAGAAAATGAAATACTTCGGAATCTATCAAAGTCTATCAAAGGAAGTAAAAGATCTACTCAGTGAAAATTACAATACTCTGAAAAAAGAAATTGAGAATCTCAGAAAATGGAGAGGCATTCCTTGTTCGCGGATAGGAAGAACAAACATGAAAATGGTCATTCTCCCAAAATTGTTATACAGATTTAATGCGATTCCAATCAAAGTACCATTAGCATACTTCATAGATCTAGGGAAATCATTTCTAAAATTCATCTGGAACCCAAAAGAGACCTAGAATAGCAAAGGCAATTCTGGGCAACAAAGGCAAGGCAGGAGGCATCACAATCTCTGACTTGAAGTTATACTACAAAGCTACTGTGATAAAATCAGCATGGTACTGGAATAAAAACAGACCTGAAGATCAATGGAATAGATTAGAAGATATAATCACAGCTACAAACACTCACACACCTTATCTTTGACAAAGGGGCCAAACATGTTCACTGGAAGAACAACAGTCTCTTTAATAACTGGTGCTGGAAAAACTGGCTCTCCGTATGCCGAAAACTAAAACTAGATCCTTGCCTACCACCATGCACTAAACTAAAGTTAAAATGGATCAAAGATCTAAATATCAAAACAGCAACACTAAATCTGCTGAGAGACAAAGTAGGTAGAAATCTTGAAGACACAGGCAGGCGGAAAATTCATGTAAAATCAAACTGCATGGGAACTACTTCCCAGAATCAACAACTGGGATCTCATCTTATTAAAGTTTTTGCATGTCAAACGAAATCTCCAACAGAGTGAAAAGAAAGTCCACAAATTAGGAAAATATCTTAGTCAATTGTCCCTCATACAAAAGACTTCTATCTAGAACATATAAAGAATTTTAAAAAGTTCTCAGCTGGAGAAATACAAATGGCATATCAATACATGAAAAAATGTTCAGCATCATTAAATGCAAATTAAAACCACACTGAGGTCCATCTAACTCCATAAAGAATGGCCAGGATCAAGAAAACCACCAAAAACAAATGCTGGAAGGCTGTGGGGAAAAGGAATACTTTTGCACTGTTGGTGGGAGTGTAGACTGGTGCAGCCACTGTGGAGGTCAGTCTGGAGGTTCCTCAAAAAGCTGGGATTGGAAGTCCCATTTGACCCAGCTATTCCACTCTGGGCATATTCCCAGAAGAACTGAAAACATCACACCACAGTGATATATGTGTGCCCATGTTTATAGCAGCACAATTTGTAATAGCCAGATCTTGGAAACAACTTAAATGCCCATCAACTGAGAAATGGATAAAAAAAGATGTGGTATTTTTATATAATGGAATACTACTCAGCTATAAAGAAAGGACACATTGAGGCTTTTATAGGTAAATGGATGCAACTTGAGACCATACTCATAAGTGAAATAAATCAAACTTGCATGTGTAAATACCATATTGTTTCCCTAGTATAAGATACTTAAAGAGTAAATAAGATACAAAATCTTCACCAAATATTGTGAAAGGGTAAGAAACTGCTCAAAGGGGAAAAATAATTCAGGGAAAAGGAGAAAAGAAGGAAGGGAAAAGAAAAAGATATAAATTTGTATATGTACACCTAAGATAGCTAAGATGATTGTGCTATATATAATTCTATTAGTTCTTGGAACAAAACAGTTAACATTCATAGGATTAGATCAATTTTGCATGCTTATATTTGAGTAACTTTTTTGAAAATAACTATGCAAAATAACAAGCTTAGTTGTGCTCCTGCCATCTTGTTTTGAAAGCCTGTATTGTCATTATTTTGGGCTCTTTGTTGTTGTCATTTATTTATCTCTTATTTCTTGTTTTTCTTGTAAGTTGTTTGTTTTGTTTTTTCCTCTAATACAGAAAGGACAGATGTACATGCATAGCCTCATACATGCCTAGAACTTCTCCTAAAGAGTTTATAGGAATTGCTTTATTACATGTTATGGTATAAACAGCTACTTTCAAGAAAACGAGACATTATGGTAGCCATTGCTTATTTTCTATTATCCTGTTGTGAAGTCCAGTAATGCTTCTATTCTTTATTTTGATTGGTTTTAGTCTGTTTTGTATTATTTAATTTCAATATGTATGAAGGTATGGACAGCCATTTTGAAGAGAACAAGAGACATCGTGATAGCCATTGTTGATTTTCCTATTGTCTGGTTTTGAAGGCCTGTAATGCTTTCATTCTTTTGTTTTGAATGGTTTTATACTATTTTGTCTTGTTCGAATTCATTATGTGTGAAGATATGGACACTATTTTGAAGAAACAACAGATATTATGGTAACCACTGTCAATTTCCTGTTGTCTTGTTTTGAAATACTGTGTTGACTGCACTGTTTTGTTCTGACATGCTTTGTTCTGTTTTGTTTTATTCTCTTTAAAATAAAAAAGTCAACAAAAGTATATAATCAACATGTTTAGAACATCCCACCCAATAACAGAAAAATAATTGTAGGATAGTTTTCAAGTGCTAATGGAACATGTATCAGACTAGACCATATTCTGGGCTACCAAACAGACCTCAACAATTCCAAAAGAGTTGAAATTTTATAAAGTCAATTTTCCAAATTTCTCTGAAAAAGATAAAAGAGACGTTTCCAACCACTTGGAAACTACACAACACCCCAGTCATCACCACTACCACCATTATCATCATCAAGTCAAAGAAAAAAATCTCAGAAAATTAAAAAGAAAAATCAGAAAACAGAATGAAAATAAAAATACTCAAAGTTATGAAAGAGCTCAAGTGGCATTGAGAGGGAAATTTGTGGAACCTTAGAACAGAGAAAACAAGTCAATAAGCTCAGCTTCCCCTCATGATGAAGAAAATAATAAGAAAAAGAAGAAAATAAACCCAAAACAGAAGGGAAAAAATAACAACAATCAGAGCAGAAATTAGTGCAAATGAAAATAGGAAAGCATAGAGAAAATCAAGAAAATAAAGAGTTGGTCCTTCGAAAAGATGAGTAAAATTGGTAAATCTCTAGCAAAAAGGGCTAAGAAAAAAGAAAACACATAAATTATCAACTTTAGAATAAAATAGAAGATATCACTATCATTACAGGCCTAAACACATCAAAAGGATAATAAGGAGTTCTACAAACAGCTTAACACCTAAATTAGACAATTTGGATTAAATGAACTGTTATGGATTAAGAACTAGTGGTCAATTTAACGCCAGCTGGATTACATCAGCATGGCACTGAGCATAAATGCTCCAACTGAGGAAAGTTGCCAGCATAAACAGAGAGGTGGAGAAGGAGAAAGAAGGCGTTAATGCATTGTTGTGTGGAGGCATTGTGGGTTCTCCTACATGTTGCTGTTTGAGCCGTTGTTCTCCTGGAGAAGCTTTGGTCCTCACATCGAGCATTGCTTCCTGGCTCCGGAGGGGAAGGCATGTGCCGCTTGGTCTCCAGGATGAACTCGTCACACTGACTTGCTGGCATGTACCCGACTGTGCTTGTCGTTGGAGGAGCTCAGGGCCTCCGTGTCCCTGATGGCTGTGGTGCCTTTCAGGACAGCCTTGGTGTTTGTTGTGAGTGTGATTTCTCGGCTCCAGCGTAGAAATCCTCATCCCACTAGCACAGCTCCTTCACCCCACTGGCATGGACTTTCCAGCTTCTACCACTGACCTTTGGGCCTTCTCAGCACAGATCTGTAAAGAGACTGGCATGAGTCCTTTTTGTGGGCTCTGGACCTCCAGTTGGACCAGTGGGAGGCATTGTCATGAGCTCTGGGTTTTCATCTGGACTCATATGGGACGTTACTGTGGGATTTAGGCCTTGGCTAAATATTCTGTTTTTGGTGTTGTGGATAGATTTCCTGCATTTTCTTGTGTTAACTCCCAGTGACCATTATAAAAATAATATTATAAAATCCATGTTCTGATTCTAATTATTCTTTGCACAACCCCTAGCTACAACATGAACCAATTCTTAAAAAAAATTTTTTTTTAAATACTGCCACAAATACAATTTACTCAGTGTGAAGTAGGTAATTTGAATATCCCTACATCTATGAAATAAATTGAATTTGAAATTGTAAGATACCTTCCCAAAATGAAATTTCTGGACTAGGCTTTTTTTTTACTAGTTTTAAGACTTATCAATTATATATAATTTCTTTCAAAAAATAGAAGAAATGTATCACATTTCATTTTCTGAAACTAGCATCACTCAGATACAAAAAGCAAATTAAAAGAAGTATAAAAAGAGAAATTAAGTGCCAGAAGTTTTCATAAATATAGATAAAAAGCTTTTAACAAAATATTTACAAATAAAATTCAGTAATAAATGAGAAAAATTTGAACATCGTGCCCAATCAGTTTGTATCAGAGATGAGAGGCTGGCTCAGCATTCAGAAATTAACCAGTGTATTCTTACACTCAAAGAGAAATTATATTGTTTTTGATCAGTTTTGCATGCCTGTATCTGGTAACCTGAGCAACTATTTTGAAGCTAACAGCATGCAATATAACAACCACTGTTAAATTTCTGTCATCTTGGTTTGAAATCGTGTATTGCTAGTTTTTTATCATTGTCATTTTACTGTTGTTGTTGTTGTTGGGGGTTATTTGTTTGCTTGTGTGTTTGCTTCTTGATTTTTCTGTGTTTCTTTTTCTTTAAAATGAAAAAAGTAACCAGTGTAATTCACCATCTTATGAAGTTAAATAAGAAAAAATCACATGATCATAGTGGTTAATGCTGAAGAAACATTTTACAAAATTAACATCCATTCATGATAAACCAAGCAACATACAGACAAACAAGCTCCCAGAAAAGTAGGAACACACAAGAACTTTTTCAACTTGATAAAGACATCTACAAAGCTACAGCTAACGTTATACATAGCGGGAGAAGACTGAATATTTTGTTCTAAAATCTGGATCAAGGCGAAGATGTGCATTCTCACCACTCTTATTCAATATAGTGCTGGGCCATCCAGCCACAGTAAAAAGGCAGAAAGGTAAGGCAGTGGCACACACACTCAAGGAAGAAAATAAAATAAAAACCACCTAGAACACATAAGTGGGTCCTGTAAGTCACAGGATACAAAATAAATGAGAAAATCAGTTCTATTTCTGTGTACTAACAATGGACATGCAGTCATTAAGATTCAAAATAAAATGTCCTTTGTAATCACTCAAACAAAAAACCCAGAGGAATCAACTTGACAAACATACACCAGGAGTAATCAAAACACGCGGCGGACGTTCAAATTCTTCGGGGACCAAACTCACAGCCTTGTGCTTTCCAGGCGGCGCTGAGGCCACAGGGCTAAATCCCCGGCTTCTTGTTCAGATTCTTTTAAAAACGTGTCACAGTGCAAGACGCACTGCCATTAATCCCCTCCAAGTGCTCCTTGCTTCAAACCCCATCCATCATTCTTGCCACCTTCTGAAGCAGTTCTCCTAAGTGTCATTAACTGTTCTGTGGCGGGGGACTCCATGTCCTGCATCAGTTCAAAAGGCCTCCATTGCATGGTGATTCTGACCTTGAGGAAGAGCCACAGGTCGCCCAAGGCCAGACCCTGTGAATAAAAATGAGAACACAGGATAACGCCTTTTTTTTTTTTTAACAGAAATTGCTGTTAATATTTAGAATCCATTCAGGACATTGAGATAGCTATAAAAAGATACTCATAAAGAAGACTGTCAGAACTGTGTCAGAGCGTGGATAAGTGTTTGATGAGAGGAGGAGTATTTTCAGGAGGATTAATGTCAGTGTGTCTTTAACCGTATGTATTTTGTTGTGTGTATATGTGTGTCTTTTTTTTTTCTGTATTATTTGTACCCTTTTAATATGTGTGTGTCTTTTTGAGACAGAGTCTTACTATGCAATTGAGGCTGGCCTTCAGCTCATTTTGTAGCCCAGGCTGGCCTCAAACTTGCAACGATCCTTCTGCCTCAGCCTCCCTGTAACACATTTTTTAATCTAAATATTTGCCTGTATTTTTAAATCACATCTCCTGTATAGGCCTCGCCTAGTATATGCAAGTGTCCTAACTTCAAGCTCTAGCATTGAAACAACAACAGCATCACACATGTACCAGCTTACATGCTGAAAACTACAAAATGCTAATGAAAGACACTGAAGGAAAGCTAAATAAATGGAGAAGTATTATGTTGATGACTGGAAAATTTAACACAAAAGATGTGACTCTCCCCAAAATTAACATAGAGGTTTATTACAACTTCTATCAAAATCTTAGTAAGAGCTTTCATTGACACAGATAAGATGGTCTTCTCAGCACTTGGGAGGCTGAAGCAGGAGGGTCATTATGAGTTCAAAACCAGCCTGAGCTACAAAATGAGGTCAAGACCAACCCGCATAGTGAGACCCTGTCTCAAAAAGACAAAAAAAAACTTTTTTTAAAAAGATGGTTTTAAAATGCATACAAAAGTAATGAGACAAGAATAAAGAAATTTTTAAAAATAAATAAAAAATAAAATAAAAACAAAGAGAAATCATTTATTCTACATTAAGACATTATATAGCTATAGTAATCAAAACTCTATGGTATTCTGTAGAAATATGAATCAATAAAACTGTATAAGGAACCTCAAAATTAACCTATAAAATATATTCAGCTGATTTTTGAAAAAGGTACAAATGTACTTTGATAGAAGGATAGCGTTTTCCACAAATGACACCGAGTAATGGAACACTCACGGACAAAAGCCCACCAGGACAATAACATGCCTTCCCCCCAGACACAATGAGTTCTAGATCTAAGTCTCACAGTTCACACACAAATTAACCCAAATGGATCATGAACTTAAATGTAAAATGTAAGACTATAAAGCTTTTTTAAAATATGAGAAAAAAACTTTGGGAAATGGAGTTAAGCAAAGAGTGCTTAGATTTAACAAAAAAAAAAAAAAAAAAAAAAACCCTCCACAGTCCATAAAATGAAAAGTTGCTGGATAGGACTTTGCCAAAAAAAATATTTGTCTGTGAAAGATTTTATTAAGAAAGGAAGACATCCAGATGTGGTGGTACATGCCTGTAATCCCAGCACTCAGGAGGCTGAGGCAGGAGGATCACTGCAAATTCAAAACCAGCTTGGGCTACAAAAAGTGAGCTCCAGGCCAGCCTGAACTGCATAGCGAGACCTTGTCTCAAAAAGACCTAAAAACAGAGAGAGAGAGAGAGAGAGAGAGAGAGAGAGAGAGAGAGAGAGGCAGAGAGACAGAAAGACAGAGAAAAAAGGAGAGAAAAAGGAAGGAAAAAGGAAGCAAGGAAGGAAGGAAGACAGGTTACGCAAAGAGAAACAATGTTTGCAAACCTCATACACAACAATACATAGATGACTCTAAAAATTGACCAGCAAGAAAACAACTCAACTAGAAAATGGATAAAGAACATGGAGAGATATCACCAAAGAGGACAGACAGGTGGCAGATGAGCCACACTGAGATATCACTGCCCATTTGTCAGAATAGCTAAGACAAAACCGGAGAAACAGCAGCTGCTGGGAAGGAGTCAGAAAACGTGGGCCACTCAAACGTTGCTAGTGGAAGCTCAAATGGCACAGCCACTCTGCCGAATTCTGCCAGCTGCTTACCAAGCTAAACATGCTCATCAATGGTACTCCTGGGCATTTGTCCCAGAGAAAGAAAAACTTATGCTCACATTAAAATCTGTACACATATGTTTGTAGCAGTTTTAATCATAATAGAAGTTTTTAAAACTGGAAAAACCCCATATGTCTTTTAACAGATGAATGTTTAAACTAAAGAAATGAATTATTGACACGCACAACTATGTACAGTTTTTAGAGAATTATGCTGGTTGTAAAAAGCCAATTCCAAAAGATTACCCACTGCGCGATGCGATTCTATTTAGGTAACATTCTTAAAATGAAAAAAATCATGAAAATGGAGAACAATTTATTGATTCCCAAGGGTAAAAGGGAGGATGCAGACAGGCAGAAATTGCTATGTACATAAAAGGGCAATATGAAGAGTCCTTGAAATAGCTGAAACATTGTAATGTTGACTATATGAATGTTACTATTCTACTTGCAATACTGTATCATTTTACAAAATGTTGCCGGGGCTGGGGATTTAGCTCAGGGCATAAGCGCCTGCCTTGCAAGCAGGCGGTCGTGAGTTCGATCCCTGGTACCGATAAAATTGAAAAAGACAAAAAAAAAAAAAAAAAATGTTGCCATCGTGGGAAATTGGATAAAAGATACAGGGAATCTCTTCCTATTATTTTCTATAAATGCATGGGAATCTTGAAAATAAATGTTGAGCATTTTAAAAATTACTGATGAGTGCCTCATGATTCCATTCATAAAAAGTACAAATGGATTAAACTAATTGATACTTTTGTTTAGGGGCTTACAAATCTAGAAGTGCTGCTAGAAATATTTGCAACCAATATATTTGCTTTCAGCACAGGCATCTATCAATAGAGTGGACATACAGCTAATCTACTGCCTATGGACAGCAAGAAATGTTTCACCTAAGAAGCTGGCAGAATGTCAGGCCTCCATAGCATCCTGGTGTAACTATAAAGAAACTCATAGGAATGATTAATGTGAAATTCTGGCTGTTTTTTTTCCCCAGGTAGGGAGGATTATTGTAAACCCAAATATGAGTTCAGTCATCCAAGGATTGTAATCCTCTTCCTAGTTTTCCTCACAATCAAAAAATTATATTTGTAATCCCATTGAGATGTTATTGGAATCCCAGCAAGTTAATTCCAATCTACCATCACCAATGCAACCCATGCCAAGAATGACACCAAGACATGTTCCAAATTAAGGGCAGCAAGGGATCCTAAATCCAATCCTCATGAGGACATGCAGACAAAGGCCTTGACCCTGGGCCTCTCCCAGAATTTATTATCTTGTGAAGAAGGGGTGTGGTTCAGGGATGAGTGACAGTGAGGATGACGGGAATTGCGTAATTTGAGCTGGCCAGCCAGATGCAAGATTGGCATCTCTGTAAACTGCAGAGATAAAGATATGCAGAGGACCAATTTACATAATCCAATTAAGGTAGCAGTGGAATTGTTTTGGGGGGCTATTGCTTTGGTTTCTGATATGCAAACTCTTGTGCCCTGGAGAGTCATAGCCTCTTTTTCTTGAGGCTCCTACCCAATTGACATTTCCCAGAGCTATTGATTCTAACATCTTGCACATGCTCATATCCTGTACATATCTATATTGTATGGAGAACACTATGTGAGGAAACAGGACTGTCTGCTGATTTTAGAGATTACATACCAGCACCTTGGCTCCCCTTATTTGCAATGCTTAGAACAAATTGAAGACAGAAGGAAATATACCAGCAGTTTTTTACATATCAGTGTAAGGAAATGAATCTCCAAATAATCAAAGTCAGTAATTGTTTTGCATTCAAAGGGAGTCACTGGCGTTGTCTCCCACAAGCATTAGGAAGGATTAGGGAAAAGAACCCAGAGGGGTCTGCAATAATACTTGATCTCAAAGCAGGTGCTAAGGATACTCATTTGGTGATGGTGATGGTGATGGTGATGGTGGTGGAGATGAACACTGTACCGATCCCTCCCTTGTTACTGGTGCTGATACGGAGGGTGAGATTTGTTTAGATACACTGACACATGCACACGACATATTTTGATTATTTTCATCCCCCTTACTCCCTTCTTCCTTTTCACTCCATTCCTGATTCTCTTCACCATCTCTAAAAGTCAACCTTCTAATTTCCTGCCCTCTTTTAATTTTTAGATTTTTTATATAGGAGAAATGTGATATTTAATTTTCCGAGGCTTACTTTGCTTAACATGATAGCCTCCTGTTCCACCCATTTTGTTCTTAATAACTGAATAATATTTCATTGTGTATATGATTCACTTTTTTATCCATTCTTTTTTAATTTTAATTTTATCTTTTTTGAGACAGGGTCTCACTATGCAGTTCAGGCTGGCCTTGTGCTTGCTTTGCAGCCCAGGTTGGTTTCAAACTCACAATAATCCTCCTGCCTCAGCCTCCCAAGTGCTGGGATTACAGACATGCACCACCATGCCCAACCATTTGTTATTTGATGGGCATCTAAGCTGTTGAACAGCATAAATATTGCAAATTGTATTGCCATAAACATGGACATGTATGTACCATTAGTTTTCTGTTTCTATTTCTGTTGAATTGATTCCCTCTTTTACATGAATAACATCTGTCTTCAAAAATTCTTTTTAAAGATCACTGGATTTGGAGGCAGACATCTTGGACTCTGTGATTATATTACTCCTTCATTATCTCTGGACTCTCAGAGGTTTCCCTGAAGGGCCTAAAGAACTGGGTCTCAAACTCAGCCTCCTGAGCCCCGTCCTGTCTGCTCCCCTTCACACCTGACTTCCTGCAAGAGCTTCCTCTAAGCATGATGCCTCTTAAGCCTTTTTCCAGTGGGACAAGTGGAGCTTGTGGGAGCCAGAGCTCCCTGGATGCACAACTTTAGGGCCACGTGCAGGTGAGACCTGTGCCACTGACATCTGTACGAGGGCAACAGGGATGTGCAGTTTGGAGTCACACAAGCTGGTGCTTCTCATGTGTCCTAAGGAGAACTAAAAAAAACAAGATTTACCATGGAGTTCAGGACAAAAAGATTGTCTCCATCAACAAAACCACTATTCAGGGAGTTTTAAAGATGGGGAGTACTGAACCAAACTACCTTTCAACACCGAGTTCACCTCCTTAGAACTGGTGTCATGGGCCCACATTTTACCTTTTACCAATATGCTCACGTCCAGTCTGCTGCCCACAGCTGGAACCTGCAGCTGACCTCTTCCAGCTTTGGTGAGTTGCTCCATGATGCTCCTGGGGTGCTCTCTCTCTCATATGTGCCCTATGAGGCAGTTCAGTCTAAGTCCACTTGTATCCAGTCACCCCAAGGCCTGCACAGAACCCCTCATAGAAGTAGATCTGTCTTACTCCATGTCAAACTTTTGTGGTGTTTATTTTCCCTTTAAGTTTGGAGTCTCCAGTAGATTCATCTTATCACTCAGTTCTCAGCATTCTACTAGAAAAAGTATTGAAGTCTCAGCTCTGTGGAGATTTGTGGCCAGATAATTTTTTGTTTGGGGCCTATCTTATGTGCCATAGGACATGTGGCAGCATCTCAGGCCTCTACATACTGGATGCAAATACCCGTAACACAGAGAATGGCAGCAGATATACTCAAATGTCTGTAAAGGTTTAAAGCCACTCCCCTGGAGACACACTGCCCTGAACTCCAGACACTCTGCCCACAGGCTAAGGCCTTGCTCACTTTGTATTTATTCCTTTGCACCCAACATTGTTTATTAGCAACTCATTAAGCATTTATATGTGCCAGGCAACATAATTTACCAGGATTGACATCCTTGCAAGATGTGGTGGTACATGCCTGTAATCCCCATACTTGGGAAACTGAGACAGGAGAATTGCCATGAGTTTAAGGTCAGGCTGGGCTACATAGTGAGTTCAAGGAACAGTGAGACCCTATCTCAAAAAAGAAAAAAAATATTGACCACTCTGCAGCCATTCACAGGTCACCTCAACTGCATGCAAGCAATACTAATATTAACTTGGTATTGTTCTTTACTCACATTATCTTAAATCAGCCATCCAACATAATATTTACAGTATCTGATACAGTATGGGTGCTTGGTGAATTGTTGTTGACTGTAATTGAATTTCCCTTTCCAGTTATCAGAATCAGTTTCATGGAAAGAAACTGATTTCCTGCCTATCAAGGCAACTAGGGAAATTCTTAATTCCATAAGATATAAACTCCAGAATTTCAAAATTCTGACATGATGGGATTTTATTTCTCACTCACCCATTTGGGGTGTCCCTGACCCCCTAGGTGACTTTGCTGTGTGTGACAGTTCAAGGATCTCAGGTTCTTGCCACCGCAGGACTCTACCATGCCCCAGCTTCCTGTCTCACAGCAAATCTAGGCAGCAAGAGGGAAAGAGCAGGAGGAAGGTGACATGTTCTTCAGGGAGAGACCCAGATGTGACACACGGGCCCATACGCTTACCTTCCACTGGCCAGAACCACTGCCAAAGCCTCCACTCAGGCAAAGGGGCCTGGAAAATGGAGTTGCCGGCTAAGCAGCTCCTTCCAGGGCTGAATCAGTGCTGTGATTCTGGGTGCTCCCATCTCGGTGGACAGTTGGCTGGCTCAGCGTCAGCTCATGCCGTATACTTCCAGTTCACATTTCAGAGGTCTGTTTTTACCCCAAAATGTCTCTTCCACAGAACCCAATCATCATGGCAACAGACAACATACCTCCCATGTTGTCAAAGGAAGGCAACTCTGGACTACAGTGTGTTTTCACGTCATCATGCCTACTGCAGCCCTCCTACCCTCAGCCATAAAATAGATGGAAAAACCAAGGGGAAAAAGGACCTTCTGCAGATCCCCCAGAGGTCAGGAGCAGTGCAGGTCTCCGAGCTGCCTGCTCCAGGATGCAGCAGCAGGGCCCATCCACCCACCTTCACGGAAGTAGCCAAGGAATTAGTCCTCATGTCCACGCCCCAAGCTGGAGTTCCTGACACTTCTTGGATCAAGGCCCTTTCAAAAGGAGCATTTCAAATAGGACCTATCAAGGCTTACAGAGGGTGGGTCATAATCCATAGAGGATCATTAGCTTCCCCCAAGTGATGGGGCATCCATCAGCACCTCCTGTTCTTCCACCAATTATCTATCTGCTAATTATCTAGGATTAAGAATTGACACGGAGTGACATAGTCATTAACCACATATTTGCACGGCTTATTCATGTTAGCAGGGCCGCTGGGTCTCACGAAGTCTAATTAGACACGCCCACAATGCTGTGGAACACACTTACATTTAGTTGGCTGCCAGTGGCCAATCAAGGACTGCAGGATGTGCTGACTTCCAAAGGAACTCGGCTTTTGGCAGAAGCTTTTCCACAGGCATGCTGGATGTCTTGGCTTTCTGGCAGCACAGACTGCAGCTTAACTCCGAGTGCATATTCAAACATTCATTAGCTCAGTCACAGTCAAGGCACAGCGCTGGCCTCAGGAGGTTTTACAAAGATGAATGGGACATGGTTCCTGCTGCCTCCGGGGCTTTCCTTCAGCCCAGGGAATATTTGCAAGCAGGGCCAGAGAAGTGGTGTTAATACAACACTGGAGAGGTTGCTCAGCCTGAGAAAACAGAAGTTTCTCAGAGGAGGTGGCATCTTCAGATACAGCCAGAGAGAAAGATAAGTCCAGGCTGGAGGAACTGCCAAACAAGGGCACAGGCGATATGTGAGCAGAGTGAGGAGTGGCCTAGGTCACTGCCCCCACACACAGGTGGGAAGGACGTGGCCTGGCAGACTGGACACATCGTGGAGAGCTCTGAGTATTATGCAAGGGCCTGTAAGGTTCTCTTCTGAGTAGAAGGATTCACAAGAGAGAGTTTATGCTGCTGTGCATATACGAACTACAGTGTGATTAACTACACTTTCTATAGGAGTTCAATATATGTACAGAAAAGTGCTCACCTTTCCACAAATCCATCACACTTGTGGAGATAGCATCCAGGTAGAGAAACAAGTCATGACGCAGACACCAGGCATCCACTGTGGCCTCTTTCAGGAACTACACAGACGTAGAAAGCATTCCCCTGATCAATGCCCCAGCTCATTTTCCCCATCTTACTGTGTGGCTTCTGCCACTCAACATACATTTGCATGTTGTTGTACACAGATACATAATACATAAATACATGTTTGCTTGTTGTTACACATAAATATGTTTCCTGCTTTCTCACCATTGTATGAAAGCACCATCATTGTTGGTGAGCGTTTCGTGGTTTCCGTTTAGGCCTCTAAATCTTCTTGCATGTGCCTTCTGAGGTTTATTTGTGCTTGCTGTGTATCTAGGAATGGAGCTGTTGGGTGACAGAGTAAGTATATACCTTCTTGAGCAAATGTCAGTTTTCCAAAGTGGTTTTACTCATTTTCACACCATCCAGGAATGCAGGGAAGTTCTAGTTGCTTCTGGTCAGCTCTTGGAATTATCAGTTTTTCAGTGTTTTGTGCTTATTCAGTGGAGTGTTACCACCAGCTGGAGGAGGTGGGACCCACCCCGGTTGAAGTTCACACAGCGGGGTGGATGTGGTGGTTAGAGAAGAGGCAAGTGAGGCAATCAGGATCAGTCACCAGGCATGCACTGAGGCCCAGGAAATGCACAGTGGGCTCAACAGGAGTAAACCCAGAATGAAAAAGGCTGATAACCTGGGCACGGCAGTACATGCCTGTGATCCCAGCACTTGGGAGGTTGAGGCAAGAGGATGGCCACAGGTGTGAGCCTGGCCGCGTAGTGAGTTAGTTCAAGGCCAAACTGCACTACATGGCAAGACCCTGTCTCAACAGCCCCTCCCCAAAAATCTGGTAAACAGAGGCACCATGTGAGGAGAACAGATTTCCTGTAGAGTGGCCGGCTAGGGGAAGGATGCCAGATTTGATGAAATATAGGATAGCAAGATGGAATTGTCCAGTACACTGCTGGTGCTGTGGGTCTGTCACTCAGGGACTTCAAGGCCGGAAACAAAGTTGGGAGTGAGCATGGAGTGGGACCTGAGGCCAGAGAGCTGGTTGAAATTTCCCAGGAGAGTGTGTGCACTGAAAAGAGAGGGGCTGGAGACCAGGCGCCTGCCTTCAGGGGTTGAGCAGGGGAAGAAGTGGGGGAGACAACATCGCTTGCCTCTGAAGTGCTGGCAGGGGCTGAGAAGTGTGAGTCAGGCCCTCCCAACACAGGATCCCAGGGTCCATCTCACCAACCTCATTTTTCTCCTGAATGAACCTCAGCAGCTATGTTGTGAAATCCGCATCACATTGCATACCTCTGGCAGCGTCCTGGGGACAGTGGGCACCAGAGACTCATAGCATATTGGGCTGGAGTCCTCATCTCCACATATCCCAGCCAATTAGTTACCGGTGCCCCAGGCAGGGACTCATGACTTCCCACGGCAGCGGGCAGCTCATCCCATTGCTCAGTACGTGGGGCTCTAAGAAAATCTTGTCTTACAAATGCAGTCCCACCATGCTGAAAGTCAAAGGAAAAAATAAAATCATACTTGGGACTCACCCTATAAAGTGTTAGTCCCAAGGACTCTGCTTTCTGAAAAATCTGTTTCTGTTCCTGTATCCCTCAGCACCTTCTTGTTGAGCTTGAGGTCACAGCGTCTCCCCCACCTCCAGGAAGCTGCAGTGATTTCATCACTGTTTGCACACTCCATGGGAATGTGCTCAACCGCTGCAGGCATTCCTCTGGCTTCCTCAAGCGGAGAGTACACGGCCCTGGCACCTGGCCAGTCTCCCAGGACTCCAGCAGTGCAAGCTACAGCACAGATCCACCAGGCTGGACACGTGGGAAGAATGAGCGGCTCTCGGATGAGAGCGAGCCTGCTGCCAGAAAGCAGGCTCAATGCCATTCCACTCAACTTCGTTTTCCTGCGTGCTGGCCTGTATGGGCCCCCACGGGAGGAGGGCAGTCCGATTAAGAAATGGCCACTTGGCAGGGAGGTGGTGCATGCTGCTAATCCAAGCCCTCTGGGAGGCTAGGCAAAAAGGATCAAAGCTGGAGCTTAGCCTAGGCAATGGAGCAAGAACCCATCAAAATGCCACAGTGCAGAGGCTCTGGGTTCAAACCCTTAGTATCAGAAGAAAAAGAGAGAGTTAATCTCCTCCCCAAGCCGTCTCCTGAAAGTGCTCTCAGATCTTCTGAGAATCTGAATGGATGTTGAGTTTTGGGGTTGACAAATAATTTTTACTCGAAATCCGATGGGCTGGTTCTATCGCCTTCAGGATATGATGCTCTTGTTCTCATCACTCCTTTCCTCCATCTGCTTTTCTCTGTGCAATTTTAGAATGTGCCGTACTCTATGTCCTATAATTCCAAAGTGATGCATCTTAAGTCTTTGCCCAGTCATTCTCCAAGACACTTGGTAGAACCTTTCATATTGGAGCCTCACATTCTTCAGTTCTAGAATATTTTATGTTATTTTCATCATAAACCTCTCCCTTTCACTTCTCTGTCCTCTGGATCTCTATAAATGCATACCATTGTAACGAGTCAGTCAACAGCATTTTGGATAGTAACACCAAAAGCACCCTAACAAAGAAGCAATAGGTAAGTTGAACTTTGCCAAAACTAAAACTTAAAAAAGAACACTGAAACTTTTTCATGTCAAAGGACCCTATAAGATAACAAAACAGAATAGAAGAAATATTTGCAAATGGTTTATCTGATACAGGTAGAGTATCATATATATGATATAACTCTTAAAACTCAACAAAAACCAATTAGAATGAGTAAAGGATCTGAAGAGATTTCATCAGAGAAGACATCCAGTTGGCTAAAAAGGAAACGCAGTGCTGCTCAGCATCACTAGTGTTTCTTTTCCTTCTTTTTTTTAATTATAATTAAGTTTATTGGTACATTTTAGATATACATAATGATCATGTTCATCATGGGCATTTGTGCCTCTACGTGATATAACTTGATTCTTCGTTCCTCCATTTCCCTACCCATCCTTTGACTCCTCTTTCCCTCCTTATTTACAAAAGCTTTGTTTGCATTTTTTTCTTATTTTTTCTTTTCCCTTCCTTCCTTCTCCACCCCCGCCCTTAATTCCACTTTGCGTGTGAACATTATTTCACAGTCTCTATATACATTTTGGTCCTTATTTATATTTTTAGTTTCTCACACCAATGAAACAATGCAATATTTATTCACGTGTGTCCAATTTATATCTTATAAGAGTATGGTCTTAAGGTGTATCCACTTACCTGGAAATGTCTCAAGCTTATCCTTCTTTATGACTGAGTAGTACTCCACTGTATGTTTAAAAACTCCACACATTCTTTATCCATTCATCGGTTGATGGGCATTCAGGCTGGTCCCAAGACTTGGCTATTATAAACTGTGCTGCTAGAAACATGGGTGTGCATATATCACTGTGGTATGATGCTTTTAATTCTTCTGAGAAAAATACCAAGAAGGGAATAGCTGGGTCAAGTGGAATCTCTAGTCCTAGTTTTTTTTTGGTTTGTTTTTTTTTTTTTTTTTTTGGTCTTTTTCATTTTTATCGATGCCAGGGATCGAACTCACGACTGCCTGCTTGCAAGGCAGGCACTTATGCCACTGAGCTAAATCCCCAGCCCTAGTCCTAGTTTTTTGAGGAATCTCCACACTGATTTCCACAGTGGCTGTATCAATCTACACTCCCACCAATAAGGGAGAACAGTTACATTTTCCCCACAACCTCATATTTGTTACTGGTTGATTTCTGGATAACAACCATTCTGAATCCCTGAGGTGAGATGTGATCTCATTTTTTTTTTTTTTCCTTTCCTTTTTTCCGGTACCAGGGATCGAACTCACAACTGCCTGCTTGCAAAGCAGGTGCTTATGCCGCTGAGCTAAATCCCCAGCCCCCACGAGATGTAATCTCAATGTTGTAATTTGCATTGCTCAAATATCCAGTGATGTTGAACATTTTTTCATATATTTATTTGCCATGTGTACTTCTTCACCTGAGAAGTGTCTATTTATTTAAGATGCCCATTTTTGGGTTGGGTCTTTAAATTTGGGAGGTCTGATATTTTTGAGTTCTTTATACCAATTTTTTTGCCACACTGTGGGTTGGTGGTTTCCTTGGCTGTGCAAAAAACCCTTTAATTAATCAGGTGTGGTGGCACACACTTGTGATCCCAGCACTTAGGAGGCTGAGGAAGGAGGATCACTGCAAATTCAAGGCCAGGCTGGCTACATAGTGAGTTTAAGGCCAGCCTGGACTACATAGCTAGACTCTGTCTCCAAAAACCAATAAATAAATAAATAAATAAATCTTTAATAAGATGATATCCCAGTTGTTATTTATAATATTTCCTATGCAGTTGAAGTTTTGTTCATAAAATCTTTGCCTACACCAGTGTCTTCAAGAGCTTTATCTCCTGTATCTTACAGCAGGACTTTAACTTCAAATAAAGAAGAATTTTATTATGCTACAGAGTCTTTTAAAATTAGTTTAAGAGCTGGGCGTGGTGGTGTACACCTGTAATCCCAGCACTTGGGAGGCCGAGGCAGGCAGGTTGTGGCAAATTCAAGACCAGCCTGGGCTACAAAGTGAGCCCAAGGCCAGCCTGCACTACATAGCAAGACCCTGTCTCAAAAAGACAAAATAAAATAAAATAATAAAATTAGTTTAGGGCTGGGGATTTAGCTCAATGGCATAAGCACCTATTTGGCAAGTGCAAAATCATCAGTTCAATTTCTGGTACCAAGGAACAAAATAAAACAAGTTTATTGGAGGTTGAGGCAGCAGGATCACAAATTCAAAGGCAGCCTGGGAAGCTTATTAAGATATTGTATGAAAATAAAAATTAGTAAGATAGCAGAAAATGTATGGGCCAGACTCCCGGGGAGCGGATGGAAAGAAACAGTAAGGTTCCAGACGTGGGGACTGAACCCATTGCCCGGTGGGTCAGTGGGCGCGGGTAGGAAGAGCAGACTTGATGAATGGCAGAGACACTGGCTTTCCAACTGGACTCAGGTCCACATCATTTGTGGTCATGACGGAAATACAGACCAAACTTGTTTCCAGTCTCCTGACTTGTAAGTCCCCTGAAATTTTCTATGGCCCAACGAAAGAAGAGAAAACCTCCAAATCACCGAGACTGAGCTTCTGCCTCCCAGAAGAGACAGAAAAATGAAGACAGAATGCTCTTTACCTTCTTTATTGTGAAATAAATTCATTTCTGTTCTAAAATCAGTTTTTGCCTATGCAAGTGTGTCTATGCATATGTGCATTTACTGTACAGTATTCTAAATATTTACTGAGTGGTATATTTTCTTCTGTGTCTCATTTTTCTCACTTACCAAAATGCATTAGATGTCTTGTGTTGTTTTGAACACCTGCATAGCATTTTATTATATAGATGTATATGCTTGTTGTCCTTAATATGGTACAATTAGAATAAATATTAAATTATCCAGAGAATATTACCTAGACCTGTTAGGAGCAGAGTTTACAACGTTATATTGCTTTAACAAAGTTCGAGCTCCAACAAAGTTTGTATTCGTTTTTCATACAGAAAATAACTGCACAGTATTCTTTGCGTTTTTTTCAACACTGACAGATGGTAAAAGAGCAGCCTGGGAGGAGGAGAAGGGATCCAACTTGCCTCCCTGGTGTTAGAAAGATATCAAAGCAAGAGGCAGACCTCCCAGGGCCAAAGACTTTGTGTTCTCTCTTGCTCATCTCTTTCACACTGGTCACAAACTACTTTATTGCATTCTACTGTGTCACTTTATAATAATTTTCCTTTTACCTTCAAAAAAAAAAAAGAAAGAAAAGGGGCCAGGGATATAGCTCAGTGCAAGGTTCAATATTCATTAGTGAAAAAAATTAATTCACTGTAAAAAATGTCAGCATAAGCCACTTCAAATTTGTTAAACGGAAGGAATCCTAAATACTTATAGAAAAAACAATAGCTAAGCCATTGTTAAGTTTTCTCCTAATTTTCTCTTGTGCCTGGAAAAAAAGTCATTTTCTTCATGTAAAGGTAATTGCTATAAATAGTTAACTATGATAAGGAAAATAATTATAATTATAAACACGTATGCATTATAATGGCTATAAATGACCTGTTTATTTTTCAAATTGTTTCTCCTTACTCGGCTAGTAAACTTAATACAAAGTAAGTTATCTCTTGTTCTATTTAATGTCCTGATGCTTTAGTAATATTTGAAAGCTGTAAACATAAATACATTTGTCACTTGTATCATTAGATAGACCTATTTAGATACAAAAAAATAAAAGGATATCCATCTATTAATAAAAGGATTAATACATTAATCAGTATTTTATGTAAAACTACTAAAATATTTTATGCCCACATTACTAAAAGTTCTTTTTTTTTTTGTTCAGTCACATATTTATCTTTGTTTTTTGTGAGCCTTGCACGTTAGGCAAGCTTTATACCACTGAGCTATTTATTCTTTTGATAAATATTTTTAAGATATACAACACAGTATGATAATACAATACAGGTACACATTGTATATAATCAAATGAGGGTAATCAGCATTTCCATTTCCTCAAGTATCGCTCCTATGTGTAGGAACCTTCAAACCCTTCTCCTGTAAGGGCTAATAAATTATTGTGGACTGTAACTACCCTACTGTATTCCAGAACATGAGAACTCATTTCTTCTACAGAAATGTATTTGGTACACCTTATGCAAACTCTTCTTCCCTGCCAGCCCATGACCCTTCCTAGTGGCCACTCTTCTACTCTCTGCTTCTATGTGGTCAACTTTTTTAGCTTTTATAAATGCTTTTTTATTTTTTGTACTGGGAATCAAATTGGACCTTGCACTTGCAGGCATCGTTATCACTGAGCCCCTAGCTTTTACAAAAAATGAGAATATAAGGTATTTGTTTTTCTGTGCCTGGTTTGTTTCACTTCACATAATGTCCTCCACTTCCACCTACGTTGGTGCAAATGACAGGATTTCATCCTCTTTGTGGCTGAATAACATTCCACTTTGTATATACAGAAGGCTCCCTTTTTGTCACCAAAATATTCTTTAGCTCCACATCTGACCATTAGTGCTTAATAAATGTTAGCAATTGCGTATTGTTGCTCTTTCATGATTTCCACATTCCATCCTTCATCACTTAAGAATTTTTCATGCTAAACTCTACCATTAGATAAACTCCAGCCTTCCACTGCTCTTCTCAGGAGTGTGAGAGCTAGATATCTATCTAGAGTGGGCACAGCCAATCTCAAGCCCCAAGTGGTTCTTTCTTTGCAGAGTCAACAAGACCCAGCCATGGGGACACAAGGAAACCACCACCCACCCAAGCACATTGCCTGTAAGCCGACTACATGTGAACAGACAGCAAGCCAGCAGGTAGAGCTGATGAGTGAGGGGGTCCTGCAAGCACAGACCCATCCCCAAGTACAGAGTGGATGGTGGGCACAGCTTCGTGCACATTAGGCTCAGGAGCTCTCTGGTGGCTCAGCCCTCTGCCAGCAGTTCTCCTTGGAGCACAATGCTGTATCCTGTCTCTGGAGGCACACCTCACTGTGCCCTCAGGGGCAAGATTTCCAGACTCAGCCAGGTTACCTGCTTCAAACCAGCTCAGTCCTACAACCAACACATGAGTTCGGTGGTCTTTGGTTTTGTGATCCATGCTAATGCTCCAGGAAGAAGAAAAAAAGATTTTTATTTTATTTTTAAATTTTATTTTTTAGACCATGTCTTGCTACGTAGTTCAAGCAAGGCTTGAACTCACTATGTAGCTCAGACTGGCCTCCAACTCACGGTGCTCCTCCTGCTTCTGACTCCCAAATACTGGGATTACAGGCATGCACCACCAGGCCTGACCAAAGCAGAAGTGTCTTTTTTTATTTTGGTACCAGGGATCGAACTCACAACCTAGCACTTACCAGGCAGGTGCTTATGCCACTGAGCTAAATCCCTGGCCTCAGGGTCCAACCTTTATCATGTGTGATTTTCTATTTGTGTTTGAGGAAGAGGTGTTTTCTTCTGCTTTCAATCCTTTAGAAATGTGAAGAGCCATCACAGCTCTCAAGCAGCACAGAAACAGGCAGTGGCCACGGTTGGCCTCGGGAGCCTGCAGGACCCTCTTGCACAATGGTGCTCAGTTCCTGGTTCAGCTCCTGCATGCACAGCTAATCCAGAGCGTGGCTGAGACAACAAAGGAGACAACAGATTTAAAACTGCTTTGTAAACTGAAATCTACACTCATTACACATTGTTCAGTGTTTACCATGTAATTTTTTGTTTTTTTGAGACAGGGTCTCACTATGTAGTCCACGCCGGCCTTAAACTCACTATGGAACCCAGGTTGGCCTTGAAGTCATGGTAGTCCACCTGCCTCAGCCTCCCGAGTTCTAGCTTATAGGCATTTGCCAAAACACAAGGCTACCGTGTAATTTAAAAAATAAAAGTTAATAGAAAGTATTTTATGTATCTTGAATTAGTTGAAGAATTATATGTCTGAATAATCTGAACAGGATGCTAAGTTACCTTCAAGACGGAAGCGCGTGTGAACGATATTTTACACCGAACCCGCCTTTGGGGCAGCTCAGGGTAGACACAACTGACTCAGCTCCGACCAGCTCACACAGTGGGAGTTCAAATACCACATGGTGCTTTCCACCAAGAAGTAGAGAACGCAACATGTGCTTCTGCACCACAGACGCTTTTTGAGAAGCTTTTCTTTATGCTTGCTGGTCAGCCATAAGCACAGGCCTAAACCTTGAACCCTGTGTGAATCACACTTGCTGCAAACTACAAAGAAGAGTATTAGAATAGGTTCAATCCTGGAGAGACATTTTGGACTTACCTAGATTAAGGAACTTATTTTCAACAATAACATTCCTGTTGTATCTAACTAACCTTAAAACTTACAACTTGGGCCACGGATACAGCTCAGTGACACAGCATCTGCCTGGCAGGCATGAGGTCCTGAGTTCAATTCCTGGTATCTCCCTCTATCCAAAAAAACCTCTTATAACTTGCCTCTTCTCTATCACTTAATCTCACACTATGATAAACTGAATTTTCTTACAAAATAAGCACAGAGATTTTCCTACAATACCTGGCCTTGTTCAGCAAAGGAGAATGAAGAAGTGCTAAAGATCATCGCATGTGAGAAAAGCATTGGGGATATTAAACACTGGCCATGACGGGGTTTCTTAGCATGTATGTAATCTCAGAGAGAAAATCCAAGTAACAGAAGGCCATTGCCTTGGGCCTATGGCACAAGGTCTCTTAAATCTTAAGGTGGGAGTGCTTTGTGATACTGCCCTCAGCAAAACATCACGCAGCTTGCAAAAAGGAGTTGCTTAAAAAATATTTCTCTAATGAAAAAGAGGCTACCCATACATCGGATTTTAGGGATCTCTAGACCCCCCTAACGTCTACTCAGATAGCCACGTAAGCCAGAGGGGAGGGAGAGGTTATACAAATCCATGTTACTCACAGGACAACTCATTTCTCAGCAACACTGATGGAAGCTACATCAAGAAGAAACATTTCTTTTTTTTTTTTTTTTTTTTTTTTGTCTTTTTCCTTTTTATCGGTACCAGGGATCGAACTCACAACTGCCTGCTTGCAAGGCAGGCGCTTATGCCGCTGAGCTAAATCCCCAGCCCCAAGAAACATTTCTTTAGGAAAACATAATCAAAAGCTGCATTGAATTCATGTATTGAATGTAATAAAAGTCTTCCCATAAAAAGGGTCAAATGGCTTCTCCAAAAAGTCCTATCAGACATTTTTAAAGTATCTGTTATAGTCTTCTAGAGCAGGAAAATGAAGATCTGGCTTTGTCTTAGGAGACCAGCAAAACCTTTCACCAAAAGCAGCAGAAAAAAGTCATAAATATAGGCGTTTCAGTCATGACCACATAAACACCAAAAATCTGATTTATGATACAAATATTTATACTTTAGTTAATATGGCATAAACAAGCATAAATCAAAAACTGTTAGAAATAAAAGGACAGGGGGCTGGGAGATGTAGCTCCGTGGCCCAGTGCTTGCCTAGTATGCCCAAGGCCCTGAGTTCAATCCCCAATACGACCATCAAAAAAAGAAGTAAAAGGTCAAGAAATATGAGCTAGTAACTTTAAATGCTCTCAAAATTTAAATAAGGACATTGATATAATTATATGCCTTAATTATACCCAGAAACAAAAATATTTTTTAAAATTTTATTATTAGTGCATGTTTGCCATATTTAGGCAATTGGTACATGTACGTAACATGGTCTTCTTCCTCTCTCTTCCTCCTCACTCCTGGATCTATTTTTTAAAAGGAGGTATTAATATAGGCAAAATAAAACTACTACCTAAGTATATATAGCATTAAAACTACCAGGAAACACCTTCCCAAGCTTTATTCTTGCAAGGTCGCAGAGCTAGAGACAGAGTGTCACAACCTGCCCACCGCCACCCAGCTAGCACTTGGCAGCCCAAAGCAGCACTTGAAGCACTTTGAAGTTTCTGAGACCAAACCAGTGCTCTTCACGTTCTTCATCCTGCTTCTCAGGAAGTTCTGTGCAGATCTGATGGGAAAACTTTTCCTTTCCTTTATTGCTTTCCCTGATTTTTACTGAGTGGGCAGATTTTCACAAACATCACCCTGCTGGTCAAAGTGCCCTATGCTTTTGCATGTGGAAGTGCTGACCCTCAAGACAACAGAGCCAGCTGGGACCCGCATCTACGCTGGAGAAGGTAGCAAGGACAAGCAGAGAAGGAAGGGGATTCTGAGGCCAGAATGGCTGAGCTGAAATCCCAGATGCACGCTACCTAGCTGTGTGATCAGCTTCTGATCAATATATAGAAAAGCACAGTCCAGAGCCAAGGACAGGATAAACATTCAGTAGCTGGCACAGACTTTCATTAGTATTCAGTTCTTATTTGCCTTCTTTGGAATCCTCACCAAATGAATACTACCAAGAGGTTGATTCGTGTTTTTTATTTCATTTTCCTCTCTCCAAGGAAATGGGTCACAAACACATAGGCAGTGAATGTATGAAACATTGGTGCTCATTTATCTGGCTGTACATCTTTCCACATGCTGGATTAATCCATCCCAACCCTTAAATCAAGCTGCAATTTAAGAAAAAAATTTAGTAAATTCCACTCATCCTTCTAATCCCTTCCTATATGTGGCTGGCACGCTACAGCATTTCTTGTAGAAATTATTGTAGAAAGCTGGAGCTGTGCCAGGCACAAACTACCTGAACAACTCGGAATTTCAAGCTTTCATCCAAATTAGAGGGAAAAAACTGCCATCAAGGGCTCCCCCTACAGGCACTAAAATGCAAAGGCTGAAAATTAGGTAGCGGTTGTTTATGCCCAGGAGTTTCCTGCCCTTGTTCTTTTCAGAAAGTCTCCAACACAGGAATATGCTTGTTTCAGACTTGTGCTTTGGCCTGTTTCTCTTTCTGAGATGAAGGGTCACTAACTGGACACCCACATTTCCTCATTATAGGACACCTAAAGTATGCAGGTGTCCAGGGATCAAAGCTCACTGGGGATATTTAAAAGGACTTGAAGTTGGGAGGGGCCTGAGGTCATGTGATAGGAGAACAGAAGAAAATGGTGCTAGCCATGGTCTTGGATGAGCAATCTGCCTTATTTTGTGTAGCCCCACTAATGGGTGAATAGAAAGCAAATTTCATCACATATGAAGTAAGAACACTTTAATTATGAGCACTGTCTACAAAGAATGAATTTAGAAAGTGCTTACACCGGGAGCGCTGAGCAAGGAACTTACGAACTGGCAGGACACTGAGCCAGATTACATTAAGATCCCTTTTAGTTCTACAATCCTGAGAACATATAAAACAAATGAACAGTCCTGGGTCGGAAGGCTAGCCAGTATCCTCCCTGGAGTTATTCTACATTAAACATCAATATCTTGTGCTTCAAGCTGATTCACTTTCCAAATAATTTTCAAAGACATCAGAATCAAACTAGAGGACAGACCGCCAATGTCAACTTCTTGGCTTCAGTATAATACTACAGCTGTATAAGAGGTTATCCCCCGGGAAAAAAAGATGTCACCCCAAGAATAAGCTATGTGAGTGCTACAGTGGGTTTCTGCACTGTTTTTGTTACTGCCTGGAAATTTACACAGATGTTCTTTGTTTACTGAGTTTCAGCCCTGCAGCTAATCATTAAATGAATTTGGTCACTAAACATGGAATTGTATATAGTATGCCCAATATTCAAATCAAGGAATGGTCAAGGGAAATTTCAATTTGATGACTTTGTTTTTATTTGCATAACTCTGACATGCCCTACTATATGATAACATAAAGCTACAGCATTGTACAACACAATCAGCAAAAATTACAGTACTATATTAACAAAGTGTACTGTATACAAAAAGACACTGAAGTTCTGTAAAAAACATAAACAAATGGGTGGTAAATCTGAGCAATGGGTCGTGAGTCCAAACGATGCACCTGTCATTAAGCCCATATAGCTGTTAAACAGGCAGGTCATTAAACAAGGAATATCTGTAATTATTACAAATGAAGAAGCTTTTCAAAAAGCAAATTTAAGATACTTCCCCAAGAGCCATTCTTGGGGGTGCACACCTATGATCCCAGCACTTGGGAGGCTGAGGCAGGAGCTCTTGAGTTCAGGGCCAGCCTGGGCTGCATAGCAAAATCCTGTCTTTAAAAACAAACAAACAAATAAAAACAAAAAAAAAAAACCCTTGAAAAATGAACAGAAAAAATTTGCCAAGACATTTCAAGTAATATCAAGACAGGAGCTGCAAAGCAGTTTGGCTCAGGAGTCATTAGCCGCAAATGATTCTACACAGTACACAGGCAACACTTCAAAGCCATGATTAATCAGCTTTCAAGTTTATGATAGTGATTAGTTAAGTGTGCTTCATGTTAATAGTATCTAATCTGGTTACAGGTCAGTTATCTGGGGTCACCCTAAGGCAACATGGTCTTACACCTGCTTCTCACATGGTACAAGAACTGTGTACAGGCTTAATTACCATCTTTATCAAACTGTAATGTAATAATTTGCTTACGTATAACCTCCACAACCACGACTTGCAAGAAGAACCATATCCTGCTCATCTCATTTTAATCACCAAAATCTAATCCCTAGTGGGTTCTCAGTCACAAAACAAGAAATAAAACTAGTAATGACTTTCTTAAGCTTTTTGGGGGGGAGGATCATTTCTGACACAAGGACATCGAAAGAAAGCTCAGGAGTGCTTATTTTGGAATCAAAGTTAAATACATATATACATGTGTGTAACAAAGTCTCCAAAACAGAGTTTTAATTTCTAAAGATCATTATTACCATGTGTTTACTGTTAATTTCCTAAGGTATCATAACTCAGCTAGATTCAGAATAAAAATGGTTAGGCTCCCAACGGAAAACCAATGTTAAGTTGTTTGAGTTCTGTTCTGTTCTATTCTATTTTTATGCTGGGGACCAAATCCAGATCCTCACACATGTCACGCAAGCACTCTGCCATGAAGCTACAACCCCAAACCCAATGTAAATCACTGAAAAAGTCACCTCTAGATTCAAAGCCTCTGCTAGTATGCTCTCTGCCCAGCCAGGCGTGTTGGTGCCTACTTACAGTCCCAGTACTCCAGAGTCTGAGGCAGAAGGATGGCCGGGAGTTCAAGGCCAGCCTAGGCTACAGAGTAAGTCCAAAGCCAGTGTGAACTACATAGCAAGACCCTGTCTCAAACAAATGAATGACCTCTGCCTAATTTTATCAACTACAAAGAATCAGCTGTTCCAGAAATCATCAAGATCAGCATCACCTTTGAATTCTTCGTTACCAGGTCAAAAAGGATATGGTGATTACTCTGCATCTTTTATTTCCTAGTTAAATTCATTAAAATATATTTTTAAGAGCAGAAATATTTATTGAGAGAAAGAAAGCTTCTGTCTGAGACAGAAGAGGTCCTGAGTAAGTTGCCCTAAAATACATTTCTAAATAAGCATTTTGAACATCCCCAATCAATGCAGTGAAATTATACAATGGTGCTTCTTTCTACAAAAATGACACAAAACTAGCTAGAAGAAAAAATCCAGAGGCCAATGAGGCTGTTTCAAAGACACGACGGGGGCACCTGCAGACCCTCACGACTCTGAGGACCCACAGGCTCAGTTGCAGGCGCAGGCTCAGAGGCCGGCTTGATCTTGAGAACTTCGGCGAAGCCATCGCCAAACCAGCAGGTGATGTGCACTGTGTCCACAGTGAAGTAGAAGAGGCGGTCCTGGCAGAGCTTCCGCCGGTACACTGAGCGGGGGTCGGCAGACAGCACGGCCTCGATGGCACACTTGGCTTCCTCTGTTGACCGAAAATACCTGAAGGATGCGTGGCCAGCATCTGCAAGGAGAGGAACTCAGCTTCCATTTAAAATCACACAGGCTCGAGGTCATGACAGCGGGCTTTGACATGGACGAGGTCAGCTCTTACACATTACTAGGTGAGGTCTGGCAGTTTACCCAGTGTCTCTTTCACTGCTGTACACAGAATGTCACCTCCAAATGGCACTTACTGCCATTAAACTGTGTATCCTTAAATTCTTATTTTATCGAACAAAAAGAAATCACCCTAGTATTTTTCGTTAGTCTCCTAACTAGGAGAAAGGGCTTTCATTTTCTGTCAGCCAAAATGCTACTTTTTCTACATTCGCTGTACACTTTTTAAATACCTTCTCAAGGAAATAAATGCATGAGTCCCAATATTTTCCAAAAGTCACAAAAAAATAAACCAAACCCATTTATATCTAGAACCCTATTGTGGGGAAGGGAGGGCAAGTCAGATGTTTAGGTGTCACAACCCCACAATTACAACTCCAGGTCCCTAAGGAATGAAGACACGTGATATTTTCAGGAGAAAAGGAAAAAGACAGACACAGATAAAGTATTCAGTGGCATCATGAGGGAGTCTGCCACTCTGTTCCACCCAAATATAAGGAAATACATAGGTGCTTGCTCTGTCAAAGAACAAAACCTTTAATGTTTATATCACTCTTGTGTTTATTTATTTATGTCTTTCTGAGACAGGGTCTTGAACTGCAGTTCAGGCTGGCCTGGGGCTCACTTTGTAGCCCAGGCTGGTCTCGAACTTCATGTGCTACCATGCCCATCCCTAGACCTTTTTATTTATTTTTTATTTTGAGACAAAATCTTGCAAACGATTCTTTAGCCCATATAGCTTGCAAACGATTCTTTAGCCTCCCAACTGCTGGCATATTTATATCATTCTTAATCTATTTCATTTTTAAAAATACAGTATATATAAAACTTAAATAGCCAGGCATGGAGGCACACGCCTGTAATCCCAGCCCTCAGGAGGCTGCGCAGGAGGATTGCTGGAAGTTCGAGGCCAGTCTGGGCTACAAAGTGAGATGAAGACCAGCCTGAACTGCATGGCAAGACCCTGTCTCAAAAAGACCAATAAATAAATAAAATTAACTTTTAAAAGCCCTTAAATAAAAACAATGACTATGACTACAACATAACATATAACTAATTGAAGGCCAGTCCCCTCTGGAAAAGCACATAGACAATATTGTAAAAAAGTCATCCCCACTCAAAATATCACTTGGAGTAGTGTTGGGTCTTTATCTTTCGAGTGGAGCTGATTCTCATAAATAACCAAAAATCACTCCAGGCTATCGCCAGTTAGTTGGCAAATAAGGCCAGGAAGTGTATTTTTGATGAAAAAACAAGGCCCAATTATATGGCGACAGGATTCCTTTACTGACCAGCTCTTAAAGTGACTATAAAAGGCCAGTCAGTAGCGATTCATTGCAGGCCTGCCCAGCAGCACTCAGGCTGGACTCCCAGCCTCCGAGTGGCTGCTGAGACCCTGCACTCCATTTCCTGTCTGCTCGTCCTCCAGCTCAGCTGACATCTCTCCTCTATGCTCCTTCAAGAAGTCGTCCCACATTCCTGACCTTGCCCTAATCAGTATCTTTCCCACCCTTCAACATCCATTGCTTCTGCCCCAGCCTCCAGCCTCAAGCTCTGCTGACCTCAGTTCCCTCCTGGTTACCTGTTTACCTCTCCCAGGAGCTGAGTACCGTGCAGCCATCTCGCGGCTCTCAGCACTCTGAATTGCACTGCTTGCTACAGTAGGGCCCTGTCTTACATCACCCTGCACAATTCCTCTTCCAATTGTTTCCTTACCAATAAAGTGTGTTACACCTCAGACATACTGCACTGTAGACTGAGCAACTCTCCACGGTGGACAGCATTCAGCAGTCATAACAAGCCAAGGAAGAGAGACACAAAACGCCTACCTGGCTGCACTCCTTGGTCTCATTGAAAAAATCCTTTTCCAACTCACCTTCCTCCTCTCATCAACAGTATATATTGATAAAAAAAAAAACCTTTGAATATAAATTTTAAAGTCAAAGCTTTGCTGAAAAATAAAGTCTTACCAAGGCGCCAAACACATTCACTGGAAGAAAGATAGCCTCTTTAATACACAGTGCTGGAAAAACTGGCTCTGCACACGCCAAGATTAAAGTTGGACTCATATCTTTCACTATGCACTAAAATAAATTCGGAATGGATCAAAGATCTAAATATTAAAACAGAAACATTAAATCTACTGGAAGATAGAACAGGTAAAACTCCTAAAGACAAAGACTTTATTAACAAAACCCTGATTTCACAGGAACTATCACAAAGAATCAACAACTGGGATCCTCGACTTACTGAAAAGCTTTTGCACAGCAAGAGAAACCACCAACAGAGGGAACCACCACCCACAACGTGGAAGAAATGTTTGCCAGCTGTTCCTCGGATAAAAGATTAATATCAAGAACATAAAAAGAACTCAAAAACCTCAGTCCTCCCAGATTTAAAGACCCAATCCAAAAATGGGCATCTCTGATGAATACACACTTCTCAGATGAAAAAATACAAACAGCAAATTAATACATGAAAAAATGTTCAACATCACTGGTCATTCAAGAGATGCAAATTAAAACACTGAGTACTTTAAACCACCTTACCCTGGAAAGAATGGCTATTATCAAGAAATCAGGCAAGAACAAATGCTTGAGGGACTGTAGGGAAAAAAGAACCCTTCTCCACTGTTGGTAGGACTGTAGACTGGTGCAACTACTCTAGAAATCAGTGTGGAGATTCCTCAAAAAACTAGGATTGGAGATCTCATTTAACCCAGCTATTCCCCTTCTGAGTATCTTCCCAGAACAATTAAAAACATCATGCCACAACAATATATGTGCACCCATGTTTGTAAGTAGCACAATTTGTAATAGCAGATCTTGGAAACAACCTAAATGTCCATTGACTGAGGAATGAATAAAAAAGATGTGGTACTTTTACACAATGGAGTACTACTCAGCTAAAGATGGATAAACTTGAAACTTTTATAGGTAAATGGATACAACTTGAGACCATACTCATAAGTGAAATAAATCAGACACGCATGTGCAAACATCATATTGTCTCACTAATGTGAAAAGTTGAAAGAATATATGTCTCTATATATATTACACAATGTATACACCATTGTTACCCCCTAATTATTGTGTCTTGAAATTTCATTTTTTTCTCTTTAAAATAAAATAGATTCGAAAACAAAAACAATAAAAGAAGCCAGGCATGATGGTATGCACCTATAGTCCCAGCAGTTAGGAGGCTGAGGCAGGAGAATCATTTGCAAGTTCAAGACCAGCCTGGGCTACAAAGTGAAGCTCAAGGCCAGACCTGCATATTGAGACCCTGTCTCAAAAAGGATGAGAAAAGAAAGTAAGTAAGTTTTGGTAAAGAATGAGAAAGCACAGCCCTCAAATTGTACCACTGCTCCTACACCCAGGGCTGAGCACACTAAGCAGGTAGTGTCACAGTTGTAACTTTCCTGCTCTGGAAAGTTCCAGGCTGCACCGGGCCCAGGCTGGCACGGGGAAGGGGACTAACCCCAGCACCTGAACCCTGACAGGTGCTTGCCTCCACGCGGAGGAAGGGTGCTTCCTCCTCATTTGCAAAAGGCATGGGGGTGGGCTGGGCCTGCCAGAAAGATATGGGGAACCTCAGTTAATTGTGGCATTTGCCTCTGGCCCCAGTGTTTAGATCTCTTTTTCATTAAGAAGACTTCAGGTTGGAATGATAAATGTCAAACACTCTCTTATTCTCTGAATTCTCTCCTTTCTTTTAAAGTGGGAGAATTCTAATGTCTATGGTTGCTTATATCTTTCTTCTCTGGATATGAACGAAAGGCTTTGATGTATAATTAAAATTTCAGCCTGCCTTTGCCTGCCACTGAGGTTAGATACTCCAAAATCACTTGGCCAGCGGTCTGACACTAGATGGCTCCTGATCTTTGGGAATGCTGAAGTCAAGTTCCTCTGGCTTCCCTTTCCCCAGATAAAACTTCCGGTCCTTGAAATAGCCTGTAAATTCCCATGCCCTCCCTGCAGCCTCTGTGACTCAGCTCCAGCTCCTCCCGCTCTGCCTTTCTTCAGTCTGCTGCTATGCAACCTCACACACCACACCCCCTCTGTCTTGGGGTATGCACTGGCTGTCCCTCTAGATGCCATGTTGTTTTCCTGGACAGCTAGCTCAGTCTTTCCCTTCCTTAGCCTCCACTCATGTGTGTCCTCTTCTTCCCACCCACTTACAACTGCCAGCACCTGACAGTGCTCCACTCCTTAATACTTGGCTATAGCTCCTACTGCCTTTGAGTATTATACCATGCGGTTTTGTATGTTTTTCATGATAACTGCATGCATACTATGCTTTTAGTTTGTCTCTCTAAACACCGCATTAGAATGTGGGCTACATGAAGGCAGATTTTCTTTTTTAAGTCTGTTTTGCTCAGTTTTGCTAATATATTCCAAGGGGCTAGAACAGTGCCTGGTACCCAGGAGCAACTCAAAGAACACCTGCAGAATAAACAGATTTTCCTCTTTATATGGTTATGCTGCCTCTTAATCATGTAACATAAAAAACAGCTTTCTATCTTTCCAAGTCTAATGTCTCCTTAGCAACTGGCTGCTTCTTACTAGCATCACTGTTTGCACTTCTGACCAGCTCGTTCCTTCATTCTAGACTTCTGCTCAGGATCTGCTGCATGGTAGGGAAGCCAAATCACATGTGGTAAGAACCATGTGTTAAATGGGCTACAAAGGAAGGGCCCCATGGCCTAGCTCTACAGAACACACGTCTGTAGTGCTGGAACTTTGCAAGGCAAGCTCTGTGCGAACAAACTCTTCCCCTCCCTGTAGGCTCCCACAGTCCTCTGTGCCAGGGCTTACTGTCAGAATAAAACATTCCACTTCTGTAGTCTGGTAAGAAAACAGATGAGAAACTTAGTGCATCTAAGAACAGGACAAGCACCATTCAGCTTCTGAATGCTGTTCAAAAACTCTGAGAATACCCGTAACAGGAAGACAAGGGGCTATCAATCATGGCTGCTGCTAGAGGCAGCCACCACACTCTGAAAACACTGCACTGAACACCTAGAACTGTGCTGATCAAACCGCTGTTAAACAAACGTTATCATACATTAGCACTGCCCAAACACCAGCTAATATTCCTTATTTCTCATGCTGACAAATACTCCATACAACCTGACCTCAGAAACATCACTCCCAGGTAAATCTCACAATGAGTACAAGCTCATTTCTCACTCAGGATTAAGAAACCAAGGATACCTGACGCACCTCCTGAGCTGAGCTGCCAGAGGTCCATCTCTGCATGAGGAGTAAACCGGACTTGCAGAGGGGCCGTGGGCGCCTCTCTCACCCAGGCAGGTACAGTGCTGCCGGTCGTCCTGCTCCTGGCCTGGCAGGGATGAGGCGTGGGCTGCATCACCACGTTGTTTCCTTGCACACCTGGGGCTCCTGCGCCACTCCCTGGCCTCTCATCTGTATCCTCTTCTTGAGGGGCTGTCTCAAGGCCATGTGGACCCATCTGCTCTCCTGCCACATTCAAACTCTGGTGGCCTCTTGATTCCACACCAAGATCTGTTGTTCTCTCTCTGCACTTAGGCAAAGGTTGCTGGGTTTTCGCTGCATCATTGTGTTTCGGGTAGTTTTCTTCTAAAGCTCTGTCTTCAGAACAGATTCTGTCTTCAGATTTCTCCTTAATGCTTCGGTACAGCTGTGGTGCGTCGTATTCTGAAAGCTGTTGCTGGTCACAACTATTAGTCCTACCATCGGACTGGGACACAGTTTCGGGTTTAGGTTGGTTGTTCTGAGGATTAAAGCCCCCTAAAGGTTCCATCAAATTTTTTGGTGAGTCATAATCAGCTATGTAAGGCTTTATGTCTAGCACTGGTGTGCCATGTATCATGTCGATTCCAGACAGGTACACAGCTCCACCTAGAAGGCGAACAAAGTTTTCTTGAGAATATGCAACGTAAAGAGCAGTGTAAATAACAGGAAGATACAATTATACCCTACATTCCTCTCCCACAGCCCGCCTGTGCCTCACTGAGCTCATTCGCATTTTGTTCACACAGCAGACTCTATACAGCTACCGTCAACATAAGCTTTTCTTTCTAGCTGGAAACCATTCTTCTTTACCTGTCAAACTCCTACCTGCTTTTCAAAGAACACCTTCTCCAAGCTTTTCTGGCTCTTTCAGATGTAAGCAGTCCTTCTGAGTCTCAAAGAGCAGCCTGTATAAAAACTTCCACGAGAGCCTGCTTCGTGTGCAATGGCATGGCCTGCTTAGTCTCTGTCCCTACAGTAGGTGTGGGTGAAGTCCACTCATCTTTATCTTACTAGTGCCTCTAGTTGTCCAGGACGTGATACTCCTCAGTGTGTCACTGAAGGACCAACAAGAGTTTCCACTGAGGCAAAGAGACTCTAGGTGCTCCCTTGACTCCCACCTCCCGGTGTTCATGCCCTTGTGTAATCCCTTCTTTTAAATGCAACTTGCTTCCAGCCAGTGGAATGTGGTGAAAGAGTTGTCACATCCTCCAGTGACAAAGTTTTCACGTAAGACTCCTACTTGCCAGGGGACTCACTTGAGACTCTCCCAGCAATCTGAAGACATAAGCAGGCATGGTGTGAATGGCCATGTAGCACGGAACTACAAGCTACCTCTGGGAGACATGAGCAGCCTCTAGGAGTGGAAGGTGGGTCTCCAGCCAACACTAGCAAACAGCTGCGACCTCAGTCCTGCACCTACCAGGAAGTAGTGGTATAAAGTAAGTTTGGAAGTGGATTCTCTGATGAGCTCATTCTCCTGACCCAGAAAGATAGCAACATTCCAAACACATCATCAATGCGCACTGCTTAAACTGACGCATTTTTAGTAATTTATTGCACAGCAAGAGACATTCACCTAATTTAAACAAGTAATCACACAAATCACCATTGCTAAATATTAAGGACAGGTCTCATGTTGTCCCACTTGTACAGATTGTCCACTTCCTGCTACTGGCAGAGTCTACCAACATGATCCATAGGAAACTGGCCAACCAAGAACTGAAAACTTCATGTGGTCATATTTGATTCTGTCTCCATTTAAGAAAAACATTTAAAAAAAAGATATAAAAACATGACTAGTCAAAGACCCAGATTTCTAAAACATGAATGCTGTTAATGAGTCTGGAATTTCAGAAAGTTGATTTTGGACTTTATAAATGATACATTATACTTAACAACATCTGGAAGAGAACAAAAGGCACTGTAGTATATAGTTAAGAGTTTATGGGAAGACGTGTATCTTTGTGTGTGACTCCCCTGCTGTGATTTTTTCCTAACACATTAGTAATTTTTTGTCCTGTACTGAGGATTCAACTAGAGCACATTGAGCTACAACCCCATCTCTTTTTATTTTTACTTTGAGATGGAGTCTCACTAAGTTGCCCAGGCTGGCCTTGACCTTGATCATCCTGCCTCAGCCACCCACATACTAGAATCACAAGTATGCACTACCGTATCTTACCAGGTTTACTATAGTTTTTCTTGCTGACCTGTCTTCTGTTATATGGGTGTTGGCTATGATCCATTCCCATAGGCAGGAAAGGACTCCTTTTTCTATTCCCACATTACTTACAACTGATTCCTGTGTTCGTTCTTTTACCTTTTCTGATTTGACCTCTCCCAAGAGAATTTTATGTTCTTAGACCAAGGATTTTTATCTGATTTGGTCGCCACAGTATCTCTAGTACCTCGAACAATATCTGACACATGTTCAATGTTAGAAAATATGCACAGGTTGCATGAATAATAAAATCTTCCCGTACTGTTATATAATTTGATAAGCAGTCACACAATAATAAAACTCAAAGTGGATGGACCAGCTCCTGAATTTCCTGGTAAACCAGCTAAAATCTATTGAGTTGAGTAGAGTCCCATTATAGGAGTTTTGAATTCTACAAAAATAAAAAGCAAAATAACCACTCTCATCTCTTTAGTGCCCAATGTTCTGAAAGAGTACTCAAAGATTTTTGTCTTATAAGATCTCCTGAAAAAAACCCAAAGAAACAAAATAAAAATAACACCTCCTATGGAGTCAGAGAGGGAAGATCCTTCAAGTTAAAGTCAACTTGTAATCTACCTGCTGTTTCATCCTTTGCCTCTCTAATAAATACACTTACTGGGCCACAGTGATTCAAGAATGGAAGCTCTCTAACAATTTGTTTGCTACACAGGAACATGTAGTTAAAACTAGCTCGATAGTCTACACAGGCATTTTTACAAGCTAACGCATGCTCAGCTTCCCTCCCCACCGCTGCCATTCCCTATGTGCTGCACTACGAGGAATCCAATTTTTAAAAATCATTTTGTGTACACACATTCTAACTCTAAGAAAATTTGATGACTATTTCTTTTCTTAGAGCTTGTAGGAATTGAATCAAGAGCCTGTAGAGGGTGAGCAAGCGTTCTAAAACTGCATTACATCCCCAGCCCTTTTGTATTATTTATCTATTTTTGTGATACCAGAACTTGAATCCAAGACATCCACACCAAGTTAAATTCCTAGGCTTTTTTTTTTTTTTTTTAAACACAGGGTCTCGCTGAAGAGAAAAATAAGAAAGTTAAATTTTTATTTTTGAAGCCCTATGTCTGCCTGCAACTAGCTCTCCCCAGAGCAATTTGTTTTTAGTACCAAGTGCATATTTCCGTTATCTAACCAACTCCACCCTGAATCTGTATGTTACATCAACCAAGTGTCTCCATAACTCAGAGCATGAAGAGGGTTTGAAGTTGCCTATATAATTTTCCCTTAGGCCAATCAGTAATAAGGAGATATAACCAATCAATAACCACCAATACTCTGTTTCTGCACTTCCTGCTTATAAACCCCACATAAGCCCTGACTACCAGAGATCAGAACCTGTCACTTTAGAGATGGGTCTGTTGACATTAATAAACCTGCCTCCAAATCCTGGGTGATGTCTCTGTGTTTCTATTTGCCGCAGCATCACTAAGTGCTAAGATGCCCAAGTTAGGTTCAGACTTGCAATCCTGCCTCAGCCTCCACAGTGCTCAGATTATAGGCATGTCACTATGCTGGCGTTGGCTACTGACTTAACATCTATGAAAGCTGAGTTTTTAAAAAATAATCTAATGTTTTTTGCCTACATGAATGATAAACTGGACACCCTATGAGAGTTTACTTCTTAGGAGTTTTCAGCGCTAGCATTCTTTTTTTTTTTTTTTTTTTTTTGTCTTTTTCATTCTTATCGGTACCGGGAATCGAACTCACGACCGCCTGCTTGCAAGGCAGGTGCTTATGCCGCTGAGCTAAATCCCCAGCCCCAGTGCTAGCATTCTTTTAGTCTTCAGATGTTCCTCAATGTCTGGGCGTCCTCAAGAGTTAGCATCATGCTGTTTGCTAGCAGTGAACGTTCTGCTGAGTTCACAAGAAAAAAAACCATAAAAGTAAAATGAAATGAGTTACCTTCTACCTTTTCCAGCTTGGCCAAGGTCAGTCCTATTGCATTGGGGCGATGAGGGCTCCTTGTAGAAAACACTCCAGTCTTTGCACCATTCAGTCTAGGGGGCTGCACTTTTGCCTTATAGCTCAAATGACCATTTTTGTGAAAAACAAACAAAATCCTATAGAAAGTAAATCAAACTCTGAGTGAAAAGAGTATGTTATAATGCTTTAGGGGTGGGAAATGCCGTCCCTCACAAATAAAACAGAAGGAATGCTTTTAATGGAATTAATCAGACAGGGAAAAAATAATACCACTGCACTTCCTTGAGGGGAGAGAGACATCTTCACAGCCTTTGTATCTACAGCAATGACTGACACCCAGTCACCTGCCTGGGTGAACAGTGCTAAGTGCATGTTGTCTGCTGAGCAGTACACCATTTTTATACTTATGTCATGCAGTTTTGTTAACAATCTCAAGAAGTATGATTTACCCCTCTTTTTTAAGATAAGGAAAATGCAGCTCAGAAATATTAATAACTTGACCAGACATTCCTAAACAAGATACAAAATCAAGAAGCCAAAAATAATAACATTGAAATCATTAAATTTCTTATTACAAAATGTCCCCTAAGAAGAAATTCTGCTATACACAGTGGGTTAATATCTGTGGCATATAAATGACTACCACATAAATCACTCAGTAAAGCTGGTATGATAGCATTTGTCTGTAATTATAGCACTCTGAGAGGCTAGAGCAGGAGGATCAAAAACTCGAGCACAGCCTAGACAATTTAGCATCTCAGTGGGACTCTCTCAAAATTAAAAAGGGCTGGGAAGCTAGATGTGGTGGCACACACCTATAATCCCCGTGTTTGGGAGGTTGAGGCAGGAGGACAATCAGGAGTTCAAGGCCAGCCTGGGCTACATAGTTAATCCAAGGCCAGTCTGAACTGCAGAGCAAGACCACCTCTCAAAAAAAAGAGAGAGAGAGAAAGGGCTGGGAATGTAGCTCAGTACAAAGGCCCTGAGTTCAATCCCAAGTACCTGCCCCCCACACACACAAAACATACACAAAAACACTAAGTAAAAGACAATACAGTTCAACATAGGACACTAAGAAAGAACATGAATAGACAATTCATAAAAGAATTACAAATATCCAACAATCATATAAAAAGATGTTCAGCCTCATTAACAATTAAGAAATTAACCCAAAAAAACAAAAAACTTTTCAGACAAAAATGTAAAACATTAACAACACATTGTCTTGGAGAGGGTGTATATTACTGTATAAATTTGTTCATTTTAGAGGGTAATTTGGCTGTAGCTCTCTTCAAATTTATAAATATGCACACTGTCTGACCCAACATATTCACTTGTAATATTCTATCAATAAAATTACAAGTGCCCAAGGAAATCCATCACAGTCTATTCATAATAGCAAAATAGTGCTCCATTAGCAAGGATGTGGACAAATGATGGCACATCTGTGTTCTGCAATAATACATAGTTATTAAAGAAAAAGAAAAAAAAAGGCTGGCACGGTGGCACACACCTGTGAGTCTGCTATAATCCCAGTACTCTCGAGGCCAAGGCAGAATTGCCATGAGTTCAAGGTCAGCCTGGGCTACATAGTGAGACCTATTCTCCAAAAAACAAAAACAGTAAATCTGTATGTACAACCATGAAGGCTCTCCATGATGCACAGTGTTAAGAAAATATCTTCCGTTTTTAAAATCAAACATCCACTCTAAATGTGAGTATTTATGCTTCTATGTGTATTAAAAGGGGGAAAAAAAGAAAATAGGTTGGTATGAACTACATCAAACTGTTAACCATTATAACCTCTGAAGAGTGTTGAGGGGTAGGGATAAGAGGGAAGAAAAATAGGAAGGCTAAAGAAAAATCTTATATACTTCTGAACACATCTTTCATACAAACAATTTTGTTATTGTTGTTGTTGGTTTGTTTGGTTTTGTTTTTTGGTACCAGGGGCTGAACTCAAGACCTCACGCTTGCCAGGCAGGTGCTTATGCCACTGAGATAAATCCCTGGCCCACAAACAATGTTTTTAACTTACGTGACTCAACCAACATCATACAGACTAGGTTAAAACATCCATGCTTTTCTAACCTACGTTCTCAAATTAACATGAAAACCTATTGCATTTTTTTTTGGAAAAACCTATTTCAGAATAAAATCTCAAACTAATTTGAGGTCTCCACCAGTAAAATGAGACAAACTCAGACTGCTAATGTTGAGGGAGAGGAAAAATGGACGAGAATTCCATATCACAGTGAGTAGTATTTAGATTATCTAAGGTCTCTTGTCTTTTCAGAAGAATACACTTAATTCTTCATGAGTTGAGAGCATAAGTTTACAACCTTCTTCATAAAAGATCAGACAGTAAATATTTTAGGGCTTGAGACCATTCACTACTATAACTACTCAACTCTGCTACTGTGGCAGAGCTGCACAACAGCAGCCACACATCATACAGAAACAAATGTGCACCCTCAGACAATACATATTCAATAAGCATGGCTGTGGTCCCATAAAACAAATACAAAAGCACCCACTGCACAGTATCTGATCCACAAGCTACAGACTGAGGACTCTTCCTCTTGGGGCTGGCACACTAACCCATGGTCAGAATCAGGGAAGTCTACGTTTTCAGCTCAACAAATAGATTCCTCAAACTAGAAACAACAGCAAATGGAACATATCCCCTCAGTGCATGCACTCTTACCTGGAAGTGTTCAAATGACACACACAACCACATGCACAAGTGCATCATGAAAATTCAATGCAACAGACAGGATGAATGGCAGACTCCAAAGCAGGCTTTCACTGGGGTACTTTACTCTGAAGTAGGTCCTGGCCCAAAGTATCACTTCTAACTGCAAAAATAACTTACCAAACATGAGAAAACTGTTCTAAGCCCATCAAGGAATGTTCAGGATTATTAAAGATGCTCTTCCTAATCCTCAGACAGGCCCGAGAATGACTACAAATGGATGGCTGCCGTGGAGTTCCATTCTTGGCTGAGAAACAGGATTCCAAATAGCCTATCGGCTCAGTTAAAAGATTTCCTACAGAAGAACATTAGTAAGAAATCATTTGTCAAAAGGTCAAAGATGTAAGAAAACATGTTTTCTCTAATGTATTCATCTCAGTTTTAAATCTAGTAGGTATTATGTAACTATTAAAATTATTGGTTTATTCAGACCTGGGGGTCTCCCATTGTTGCCAGGGTGGCCTGAATCTCTTGGCCTCAGCTTCTGAATCGTAGTAAACACAAGGCATGCACCACTGTGCCCAAAACATTCTGAATTTACAGACAACTTTCCCCCCTGTATTTTATGAGGGATTAAGTTCTTTAAGGGGATGATATAATACGAACACTTGAACTCTTCTGAAACCTATTTCAATATTCTCTGTGCATTCCTTGGGAAAATAAATACCATGAAATATATATGCTTAATAATTTTCAAATGTAAGTGCTATGTGATGCAGGGACCTGGAGTACCTGTACAGACAAATTCTGATCCTCTTTCTCTTGCCTCATATCCTATAAAAACAATAATGATAACAACAAATCAGTAAGCCTACCAATTGATTAGCCCTATACTAAGAGCTTAGGGAACACAGAAAGAACAAATCAGTTCCTGCCCTCAAGGACTTCCAGACAGAGATGGGTAAGTAAATCCACAGTGAAGTGCCTTACAAAGGGACAGAGAGAAGCACAGGGCCAGAGTAGTATTGGCATGAGAACCAAACAGGAAGGGGGAGAAGCGGTTCCTCAGAGAAGCCTGGGAGGGTTCAGATTGGTGTCAGGAGATTAAACAAAACAAAACAAGTTAACATTTCAGGGCCACTATACTACTAGCTATGTCTTTGGGGGGAAACTACCTTGCCTCTTTGAATGTGTTTCCCTGTCTAGAAAACATGGAGCCAGGTACATGTCTATAATCCCAGAACAAGGGAGGCTGAGGCAGAAGGAGCACCATGAATTCAAGGCCAGCCTGTGCTACATAGTGAGTTCAAGGTCAGCCTATAACTATACAGTGAGATTCTGTCTGTCTCCCTCACCACCACAAGGATAGTAACACCTACTTTCAAAGTTATAAGAGGAAAGCACCTAATACAAAAGAAAGTACTCAAGCAGTAGTTTTTAAAGCGCTTGAAGGCATTTTCCTCCTTTTAGTAACATTACAACTATGTTACTGTGTTCTAAGAAAACACTTCACAAAGTTTTTATACACAAGGCTATATACAGGTCTCGCTCTGAAAGGTCAGGTTCTTTTCATCTAGGCCTGGTCTGTTAAATTACCTTTCTTATACTTTGTGTCCACACTGCTAGTTCCTCCCCTGACCAAATAACTACAACAATCCTGCATACTCCTAGAGTTCTTGAGTTATTCTCTGAACGAACTTTCTACCTTCTCCACTATTGACAAACTTCATGTTCTTAGCCTGGGATTCAAAGTTCTCTCCAATCTAAACCTGCCTCAAGCTCTGAAAGTCTGAGTCTCGGCTCCTGCTTTTCAACATATTGAACCTGTAATCTGGGACTGTGCAATGATTCTTTTTAAACGATTAGAACCTTTAACCAGGTAATAGCAACTTGTAGGAATTTTAAATTCAACAGAACATACACAAAAACTTTAGTTTCAAGAACTTTCATTGAGAACTATTAACTAGCAATTATATAAATGATAGGGCATTGGTTAACTACGTTAGAGCATACATCTAGAACAAAATAGCATATGCAGCCCCTTAAAGTTCATTGCCATGAAAAGATCTTAGTAAACAATTATTATTATTATTTTTTTAAACTGGGGATGCAACTCACAACCTTGCGCTTGCCAGGCAGGCGCTTGTGCCGCTGAAGTATACACCCGGCTAAAATACGTATTTTCAAATGTTATGAAACAGTACATTCTCTCGTTTTCCCATGTGTATACAATGAACAAAGTGTGGGCCACCTAAACATCAAGATATTACCAGTGGTTTTCTCTGGGTGACAGTAAGCTATTCTTATCTTTTTCCCCTTTGCTTCCTCTAGTTTCCAAAATTAATATATTTTGCTATCAAGAAAGATAAGACACCAAAAATATGCCTACTTTTCAATCTAAAAACCACTGCCTGTCCCCAAAATGTTCCTTTTCCCTCATTTCCCAAATCATAGGACGCGTCTCTTACAGCATTTAAAATTCCTAGCCAGCACGACGCCAGCTGTACGCATCCTATCTCCCCTACAGCAGAAAGAACGCTACGGAGAAAGGCCTCTGCACCGCACGTGTTGTGGCCACACAGCGCGTGTCGCCTGCCAAGAGCTTCAGACAGCTCAGTCTAGGTCTGCGAACAGGACGCGATGACGCCACCTCACTCGCCGGGACTATATCACGTGGTCACTGAAGCACGTGACCCGTGCTTTTGCCGTGAGGAGGACAACGTCGCACGTTAGTTCAAGATCTCGCCTTTCGCATTTCTCTCAGCCACAAAGTCAGCCGCCTGGGCCTACGCCTCTCCGGAGTGCGGCACCGCCGACTGACTGTTACCTGTCTCCAAGGTCGGCTTCACGCACCCGCACGGGGTCGCTGTCGGGTGACGCCCCGGCGGCTCCAAGCGTCGCATGGCTACCGGTCCCCGTGCGCACCCGTGCGTCAGGACTTCCGCTTCCGCCCTCCGGCCAGGCGCCTGCGCCTCGGACGCTCTGGCGGAGTGGCGCGGTTCCGCAGTGGGCGCGGTAAGTGGCGCCGCGGCTCCCCCTGAGGTCTCCGCTGGGGCTCCTGGGATCTCTGGGATGGGGTTCCCGCCCAGTCGTCGGCCTCTGCGGTCGAGGGTTCGGTTCCTGCGCTTTGTGAGGAGGCGCGTGCACGGGTGGAAATACAACACGCAAAAATGTCTCACGAATCAGCCATAAAGGACCTACGGGGCCCAATGAATGACATTGTGTTGTAAAAGGATGCGTATATGCAGTCACCGCACAACAAAAACACTGGATGTTAAATGTTTACAATTCTCTTGGGTGGTGGGAATAAGAGATGATTATACTCCTCTGTGTTCGGTTTTTTCTGTAGTAAATACGGTATTTTGTCAGGAAACAATCCGAAGTAAATCTATCTTCAAGTGTGATCGGTGTTTAGAGCCCCACACCAGGTTAGGGTTTTAAGAATGGGGACTGTTTCATGTACTAAGCACCGGAGCTGAAGCGAGGGCGAATTATGAGTCAGTATGAACGTTGAGAAATAAACTAGTCAATCGCATACAGGTCCACAGATTAAAAGGCTGATCAGCCACTGTTTCATGTCTGTTCATTATCACTGATTGGTAGGTCACTAGTAGAAAACTGCCAGTGAGAGACAGAAGTTAAATAGAAGATTATAAATTTTTTTAAAATGTGAACCGATTATATATTAATATCTTGACCGCTGGCAGATTTTTTTACGCGAAATTTGAAAAAAAAAAAAAAAAAACTGCCCTTGCTTTGCTTTTAGGAGGACCAGTTCTGTTCAGCCGGAGAAACAAGAATCGTTGGGTGACAAGGACACTTGTAAAACTGGGCGGAAATGTCTGTGCTTGCCACTAAATGGCGCTGTTGAGAAAGTATCAAATGTTGAAGAGGTATTTTGTCTCAGAAGGCGTAAAAAAGGCGTTTGATGATCACACAAAAGAACATAATTACCAACCATGACAAAGACTGAATCCAAAGCAGATGTGGAGACACTAATGAGGGAGATTGATCCTTTTTTGTGTTTTTTTGAGACAGAGTCTTGGTTTGTAGTTCAATAGCCCTGAACTCATATACTCCAGTGGGGTAAGCTGGAGCACAGTGGCCACACACCTGGAATTCCAACTATGGAGGTGTTGGGGAGGATCACAAGGCGCTGGGATCTGTTCCCCTAGTAAACTCTGTTACAAGAGGGTTAAGGGAGGTGAGGATGTAGCTCAGGGCTTCCTGGGTTCAATCCTACCTACTGTGAAATAGAACAAAAGTCAAAGTGCTGTATATTTAAGTTATTGCTTTCAGAGGACTTTGCCTTTTAAAAAATACATCAAAGCCGGGAAGTAATGGCATACAGCCGTGACTCCAGCATTCAGGGAGGCCGAGGCAGGAGGATTGCTGTGAGTTCAAGTGCCGCCTGAACTCCATGGTAAAACCCTGTCTCAAAAACAACAAATCCCATCAATGTAGATGATTGTAGTAGAAATAAATGGTCATCAGTCCATGGTACTTTAAGATATACTTCTCAGTAGAGTGATTCTTAACCTCATTTGAATATGTACCATTTCAAGAATTAAAGCTTTGGACCTTCTCATGTGTCATTTTCCATGTAATGTGTTAGGGTTCATGAATGTCTAAGAGCAACCATTGAACCTACCATGAGGGGAGGGCAGCACAAAATATATTACAAGGATATTTCCACTTTTTTCTTTTTCTTCTCTGTGTGTGTGTGAACTGAATCCAGGGCTTTCGAACTGAGCTACATCCCGAGTTTTGAGACAGGGTCTTGCTAAGTCACTAAGGTGCCCAAGCAAAGCTTGAGTTTGATCCTCCTGTCTCAGTCTCCAGGTGCTGCACCATTCCAGGTATGCACCACTATGCTTGGCATCTTGCAGTTTTTAAATTCTATACCTGAAAGGTTCTAACTCATGAAGAAAATGCAAAAAATTAAATGCATATTGCTATTCGGATGGAAATGATGAGAAAGCACAGATGTGTGCAGGAAGAGAACAGGTCAAAGGGGAGCAAACATGCTTCCCCTAAGGCACTCTATTTCTCTTATCTACTCCCTCATCTTTTCACCTTTGTACCCTTTGTACATAGTGCACATCCAAATCTTTAAGATTCATCTACATGAGATGCTACTAGTTTCACTCAACTCATGTGTAGTCTTAATCCCCTCCGGGTGATAAAATTGAAACAGAAGCATTCTGAGATGGAGCAGCATCATGAAAAGAAGTCAGATGTGACTTTGGGAGAGTACTGGCCTCTCTGAGGTTATTAGCTCATCTGTAAAATAGGAGTGGTAATCACTGCCCAGCCCATTTCACAACTTTTCATATTGATTACATTCAGTAGGGTATGCAGAAGCATATGTAGTGGCAGTCTAGGGTGGTCCTTCTTTAGTATGTTATTTGAGTATATTGTAGGATGTAAGTAATTACTGTATAATGAATACATGCCACTGAGTTAAATCCCCAGCCCAGTAGCAAATAGGAGAGAAGCAGTATTGTAACTTCCCACTGTCCTAGTGTTTTGAACCCTGGGGTAAAGATGAGAATCATCCAGAGAACTTTTAAAATATGTCCTAAAGGCAATGCTGCATCTTGAGTTATCTCTGGAAGGAGAGAAAGGAATCAGTGGAAAACTAATGAAAACTAAATAATGTCTGTAGTTTAGTTAATGGTAATGTGGTTTACTTAGTTTTGACAGATGAACCATGGTTATGTAAGTTGTAACATTAGGATAAACTGTACAAAGAGTAAGAGACTTCTGTATTATCTTTACAATTTATCTGTAATTCTAAAACTATTTCTTAAAAAAGGATTATTTTAAAAACTCAAGCCAGGCATGGTGGCACATGTGAGTAATCCCAGCATTCAGGAGGCTGAGGCAGGAGATTGCCATGAGTTTGAGGCCAGCCTGGGCTGCATGAGTGAGTTGAAGACCAGCCTGCACTACACAGTGAGATCCTGCCTCAAAAGAACCAAAATATAGAAACTTCAAAAACAAGTATATTTAGTCCTGGTTGTTGTTCATGATAGGGGAATCAATCACCAGGGAAGCAGTCTAGGCATCTGTATTTTCGAAATCTTCCCAAATGAATCTTGTATACCATAAGGGTTGAACGAACCACTGTTGTATACCGCGAATGCCAGAGGGACTGGGGTCTACCTCAGTATTGCCTACTACCTAGCACAAAGCCTGTGTGGAGAGCTGTGTAATTGCGTTCTTGCTATATGAAACTTTATTTGTAAACATCTTCTTTACTTAGTTCCCTATAACAGTAGAAAAAAAATTTAAAAAATCAAAATACCAATTGAGATTTCCGACATCTTTCTGCCTAAAATATTTCCTATTCCTGCTTCTGGTCTCTTTGTCATTGGTCATCTTGGCCATTATTATCTCCAAATGAATGTTCCTAAAATATGAAAACTGCCACGTTATTGTTTAAAGGTTTTAGTTTCTTATTATCTAACAAATGGTACACTCCTTAGGTACATAAATTCCCTATACTCCTAAAAATATATTAGCTATGTAATGCAAGATTTTTTATAGCATGCAAGCCAACTAGTTCATGTGGACCCCACTTTAATTAAAGTTGCATGCAGTTTTGGTTTTTTTGGTTCTTTTTTTTTTTGTTTGTTTTGTTTTGTTTTGTTTTGGTGCTTGGGATCAAACTCACAACCTCACGTTTGCCAAGCAGGCACTTACAACACTGAGCTAAACCCCAAGGCCTACGTGCAGTTTTTTTGTGCACACCTTGAACTCACACATCTCTAGTCCGCATACAGTAATGCTCTTGTTCCCACTTATGTGAATCCTCCCAGTATTTCAGGCCTCCTTTCTAGCAACAGTGAGTGCTTCCTTTGTTATACTCACTATTTACATGGCACTAATGCTTACTAGTTTCCTTTGAAATTATTGGTTTTCTGTTGTTTTATTTCCCCATGAAACTACAGTGACCCCCAATAAGCAAGGACAGTTTGCCATATTTGACCCCCATATTTTTATGATGGTATCCACAGAGTTAAGCACATCATAATAGTTTAATGTACATTTTCCTCTTTTGTTTGACCCCAGGGATCAAACTCACAACCATGCACTTGCAAGGCAGGTGCTTATGCCACTGAACTAAATCCCCAGCCCAGTTTAATGTACATTTTGCACAAATACAATATTTAAAAAGTAAAAAATAGAAAATCCAAATTCACATATGAAAAGTAAATTACATTCATCATTCCAAAATATCTTTTAAGAAGCCTCAGAATAAAAATTATTTAATTTAGCTAAAAGAACCAAAGAAAGCATGAATAAAATGTTGTTACTGTTATATCAGTAATTAGGTTGATAAGAAAACTATACACTTCCAAAATGTAACCACTTTTTTCTCTTAAAAATTAAATAAATGACAAAATTATTCAACTTTCCCCTTTCCCTTGTCTCTTCCCTTCACCCTCCATATACATGTATGTACACACTCAAGCACACACACACACACACACACACACACACAGAATATTATCTATTTTAGAGCTTTCAAAAATGTTAGTCCCCTCAAATACGTTCTGTAAAAGGAAAAAGGACTAAGTTAAATTATTAATGAAAATTACAGGTATTTCGAGCCAGGCGTGGTTGCTCACACCTGTAATCCCAGCATGTGGGAGGCTGAGGCAGGAGAATCATTGTGAGTTCGAGACCAGCCTGGGCTACAAAAGTGAGCTCAAGGCCAGCCTGAACTACAGAGCAGGACCCTGTCTCAAAAAAAAAAAAAAAAATACAGGTGTTTCTACAATACTGTGAGAATAACACACACAAAATGTTAAGATGTATATTCCACTGGATTACAACTTTGTGGTTGAACATTGTTAAAACAAAACATAGTTATACACATCATTTTCTGGACCAGTCTCTTGAGGAGCATGTGGAATTGCTGGTACTTCTGGTTCTTCTACTTGGGGTTTTTCGTTCATTTCTGTAAAATCAAGTAAAATACAAAAGTAGACTCAATAAGTGATATTGGGACAATTGACTATCCAGGAAGGAGGGATATCAGCCATAAATACAAATTTCAAGTAGGTGAGAGTGTTATTTATTTTTTGTTTTATTGCAATACTAGGGATCGAACCCAGGGGCTGAGGTCTACTATAGGCAGTTACTCTACCACCCAGCTACACCCTCAGCCTTGAAGCCAGCCTGGGGTACACAGTGAGTTGAGGGCCAGCCTAAACTGCATAACGAGACCCTGTCTCAAAAAAAAATCAACAAAACATTAAAATAATGTAAAATATTTAATGCAACCTCTGGCACATAGGAAGTACTAAATAAATTTTATTCCAATGATGTTCACTGAACATTGTTGTAAAAGTAAAATTTGACAATAATCTAGGTGATTGAATAAATTATTATACATTCATACAGCACAATATTTTGCAATTATTACAAAAAACATCCTAAAGATGGCTGTAATACATAAAATGGAAAAAAGTTAAAGAATTATTGCACTACATTTTTTTTTAAAGCAACAATCTTAACCTTGGGGATTGGAGACAGGAGATAGATTCTTTCTATTCACTTGTATGAATTTATTGTAATAAACACACACTTTTATAATCAGCAAAAGAATAGTCCAATTTGTTTGGTAGCACAAAACCAAAACTATAATGAGCATTAAATACTTTCCCATATTGGCATTTCCAGGTTTAAATGATTAGGTAAGACTCCTCCAGTAGGGCACTTCTACCAATGCAAGGAGAGTTGTATACATCTTTTTAAAAATTCCTTTTAAATAGTTCCTCAAAAGCAGGCACCAATTAACACTATATTTTTGTTGCCCTCATTTTTTGGCAGAAAAAACAAACAAGCTACTCAAAGGGATTTCTTCAGAGAACAACTTCCTAGGGATAAATACCTGGGAGATTGAACTGCTTTTTGTTTTTGTGTGTTTTTATTAATGCTAGAGATCATGCATGCCAGGCGAGTGCGCTGCAACTGAGCTTAAACTTCCAGCCCTCAGCCCAGGCCTTAACTGTCTATAGTATCATTCAAGGGACTCAGACTGATGTCCCTGGGGCAGGTGGAATAGACGGCTGGGCATGGTGGCTCACCATGAGTTTGAACCCATCTGGAATACATAGGGAGGAGACTGTCAAAACACCAAGAAAAAGAGGGACGGGGAAAGAAAGAAAAAGATCACATTATTTTTCTTTTAAGTAGTGTGTCAAAGCCAAGTGAGGTGTCACTTGCCTGTAATTCCAGCACTCTGGGAGGCAGAAGAAGGATCTCGAGTTTGAGCACAGCCTGGGCAATTTAGTGAGACCCTGCCTCAAAATTAAAACAAAACAAAAAAGCACCTTTGCTGAAGAAAAAGATTTTCGGAAACAAATCTGAAAGTGGGTTTTGGTACAGTTGATAAAATCTACCAAAACGAGGTCCCCCATTCACAGGACCACATTTTATACCTTTGTGCCTCCATCAGTACTTTGCACTATGAATTCACCTACCTTTATCAGGAAAATCAAACTCCCTGGAAAAATTTCATTCATCTAGTTTTCTTGTTAATCTAGATTTAATTGCGTTTTAAAATAATTGTGCTCATATCATCATATATTGAATTCATTTCACTGGTGATAGCCTCTCACTATGTGTTTTATACTAGGCAGTACTTGCGTTTTCAATTATTTTCTTTTAATTCTTTGAGATTTGCCAAGATAAACTTTAGTTGCATGAAAAGCATTCTTTTTTTACTTGAAAAGACCTAATGATAGTCACAGTACCTATCGAAATAACTGAGCATTGTTTAAAAGTGTACATGACTACTCTGAGTGAGATGTGCCTATGTTGTTACTATACATGGCCCCTACCTTGAGGAAGAGTACAAACATCCTTAGCATCTTCTCCATGTGCTTTCAGATCCTGGTCTTGGGGTTTGCCTGTTTCTTGGTATGCTTCTGGAAGGTGTTCTTCAGGTACATTCTCATTGTTGTATGTCTTAGTCGAGAGGTCTTCAGGCCCCTGTGTTCCTTGGTAGGTTTCTAGGGAATAGTCTTCAGGCTCAGGTGTTTCTTGGTTTATTTCAGGTGAATATTCTTCAGGCTGGGGTGTTTCTTGGGTTTTTTTATGAGCGGGATTGTGAGGCACACTCATTTCTTCATATGTTTCATGAGAAAAGTATTTGGGCTCAATTGTTTCTTGATATGTTTTTGAAGAAAGGTCTTTAGGCAGAGCTATTTCTTGTGTTTGGAGAAAGAAGCCTCCTGGCTCAGCTTGATCTTGTTCCAAAGTGGGTTTCTCTGGTCCAGCCGGGTCTGGGTCTACGTCCTCTTTAGGCACACTGAGTGGGAGGGATGCTTCAGGGGTGCATCTTTCCTGGTCAGTGACAGCTTCATAGGTTGTAGAATAAGGAGCTTTAGGAACCGCTGTTTCTTGACACATTTTGGGAACAAGGACTTCAGACTGAACTGTATCTTGCCATATTTTGAAAGGATGAGCTTGAATCACAGCTATTTCTTGGCATGTTTTAGGAACAAGGACTCCAGGCTGAGCCACGTCTTCACATACTTTGGAAGAATAGTCTTGAAGTGCAGATATCTCTTGGCACACTTCAGGAGCAAGGTCTTCAGGTTCGGCCATATATTGGCAATGGTTTTGTGCCACTGTTTCTTGGTACTCAGAAGAATCTTCCTGGTGTATAATGCTTTCCTGAGACAGTTTAGAAGAGTGTTCCTCAGGCACAGTGTTTTGGGAGGAAATTACCAAAGCAGAGGCTTCAGCTGCTCCTCCAGGTGGCTCATTTTCTTTCTCTGTAGGTACCAGTGCTATCTCCATCATTTCCTCTGCTATTTGTGACTGAGGCTTTATCTTTGGTTCTGCATTTTGTTGCCTCTTCCGGCCTCTCTGATTTCTTTTTCTTGTGTTCTGCCTCTTGCATTTTTTCTGTTCTCTGCAGAGAAACCAGAATTAGTGTCAGCAGCAGGGTTACAGAATTCAAATAAGTACTTTAAGTAACGGTTCCAAGACCTCACTACTTTGTTATACCACCTTGAACAAGTTTCTTAATCTCCAGGGGCTTCAATTTCCTTATTTGTGCTAGACGTTTTCAATTGTTTGGAGAGGAAATGTTCCTCCAAGACTTTTTGACTTTGACACTTGTATTAGGGGTGTGTGTGTGTGTGTGTATGTGTGTGTGTATGTGTGTGTGTGTGTGTGTGTGTGTGTGTGTGTGTGTGTGTGTGTGTATGACAGCTTACCTTTAAAGTTTGGTTATGGTAAATGTATAATTCCTTCATGAATTAAGAGATACCATCTCTTTGAGTTTAGTGAGGTAGCCCCACTACCCCCGGGTAAGTTGATCCAGCTGAGTTTCTAGTTCTGCATTGTAGGCATAGGTCCTCTGTGCAGGCTGCAGGTGGGTGGTATATATGGCTTGATTTCCTGAACAGCATCTCCTTTAAGGAATATTAAGTAACTCTAGCATATATCAAATGAGGTGTACTGTCAGCTGGGTCAAAAGCTGCATAAAAAATATTTCTTGAGGTTATGAAGCTGGTAGAAAGGCATGAGTGGCCCTATTATACCTAATTAATAGATTAAAAATCCAAAAGATGAGATAAGATACATACAGATTGCAGCCAATGACAAATTGGTAGGCACTGAGAATATAACCAAATACAGATGGCTAATACAGATGGGCTGGGAAGGGGGAGAAGTTACTATAAATAAGCATTTCATCATTTTTCTAAACCTATTGAAATTCTGTTCCATGCTACCCATGAAGCCTTCTCTAACAGACCACGAGACTGAAATGCTCTCTTTGCTTATACTCCTACAGCAGTCGTGGCAAACCTATGGCATGCGTGTTATTGTTCTTTTAAGACAAAAGATGTTAAGGTATGAGTTGTCTTTTCTAAACCAGAATCTATATTCAGGTTGAATTGAGGCATTGACACTTTGAGATAAATAAATGGGTTTTGAGTTGCATTGTGGGCACTCATCTCTAAAAGGTTCACTATTCCTGTCCTATAGGATTTATTGTACCATGATTTAAGGCTGCCTCATACTGTGGTGGTTTCTGGAGACGCCGTATTTCTTTTACTAAACTAAACATTCTTTGGAGATAAAACCACAGATTGTTATATCTTTGTAGTGCTCATAATTTCATACAGTTTTAAAAAATATCTATATTGTTCTACATCTGTGAATGTTTGAAACTTTTCATAATAAAAAATTTTTTAAAGATTACTTCACTAAAACTATTTGAAGTTAAGATCATTTATATATTGTGATGGTTCATGTCTGTAATCTCAGAACTCTGGGAGGCTTAGGCAGGAAGATCACAAGTTTGAGTCTAGCTCTTAGATTTTTTTTTTAATTTTTTTTTTTAATCAGTACCAGGGATTAAACTCACGACCACGCACTTGCAAGGCAGGCACTTATGCTGCTGAGCTAAATCCCCAGCCCAGCTCTTAGATTTTTAAACAATGAAAAAGGGCTGGGGATGTAGCTCAATGGAGTCAATCTTCAGCATCACCAAAACAAATGGATAAAAAGAAATATGTAAAATACATACTATAAATTAACATTAAATAATATAAATATTATATCAACATTTATATTGTTATATTTTATACCATTCAACAAAAATATTAAATAGTAAAAATCCTACAGAAGAAAAAACCAATTTGAAGATGATGTTTTAGCTCCTCAACATTTTGAACTGTTGCTCCAAGTAACAAATGTAACAAGACAAACTAGAAAGCTCTGTCAGTTTGTTTTGTTTTGTTTTTTTAAAAACAGATATATCTTGGCCGGGGCTCAGCTCAGGGGCATAAGTGCCTGTGTGGCAACACGAGGTGGTGAGTTCGATCCCTGGCACACAAAAAAAAGATATATCTAAATTCTTCAAGAAATGCTTATTTTCCCTTGGATATTAATTATTAAACAACTTGTTGTATAGGTATCTTTCTAAGGAGATCTGAGTAATACAATGATCACATCTTTCCTGGTAGTTTTCAAAACAATAGAAAAGCATCGGCATGGCCTAACCTTTGTTCTGTACTCTTCTGATTGTGGGCAAGTCCGTTAACTTCTCCCTGCCTTGGCTTTTCTACATGTAGTACGTCGTAAATAATGTCTGCCCAACTTTATGTGGCAGTTGTAAGAATGACATATAACTTACCATGGATGAGTCATTCAGATACAGTAAAATTAGTTGTCTCATATTCATATAGAAACATTTATAGGGCTCCCCCTCTGTGCCTGGCACTGTTGTCAGCAACTAACTTCTGTTATCACCAACCTACAAGGTGGTTACTGTTATCTCCATTTTGCAGATGACAAAACTGAGGCACAGAAAAGTTTAGTAATTTTCCCTGGGTCAACAACGAGGAAGTGAGGAAGTCAGGCTTCATATCTAGTTGAGCTGGCCAGTCCATCTGCCTCTATTACACCATGCTGCCTCTCCCTGAAGGTTTCATTATGTATATGTGTTGTGCTGAAAAAAGGGCCTAAGTCTTAGTAGCCAACTGCCAACCTACTTCAGAGAATTTCTCAGCCTTGTCCCCTCAGCCAGTAAGCTTGGAGAATCAATGCTGTCAGCTCAGTGGTGCTAGCTGTGTTTGTTAGAGGCAGAGTTCACTGGCTAGGCTCAGTAAGACTGATAGCTAAACCTAATGACCCATTTTTAAATGAAAAATGAGAAGTGCAAAGTCACATATCAGTGTGCTTAGGATGAAAATTAAGGTAAGGTAAACAAACCCACTCCTACTCTGTGGGAAACCCAGGAGTGATCAGAAGGCTGCCTAATGGGTATAAAAGTGGGGGAGCTAACGGTAATCTTCAGGAGGACCCAAGTACAGAAGTTTCTGCTGTAAAATCATGGTCGTGTTCCTGAAAAATCTCACCTTCTGCAAAGTCATGCACTAAAAAGTAACAGTGGTTACAGGGATGAGGGAATAGACGTGGGACAAACTACTCAAAACCTGTACAACCTTTTAACATTAACATTAAATAGGCAATCTCTCGTTGCTAGAGTCTGCCTCAGGCAGGGGCTAGTGAAAACGTAGAAAAGCAACAGTGTCCTTATAGACTCCAGGCCACTGAGACCTGGGCACTGAGCCATTAATCTGAGGACAACAGTAAGGAAGCACAAGGAGAGCTCTGCTGAGCTGGTGCGCCTCTCTGGGGAGGGAGCCCAGTGCAGGCCGAAGAGATCCTGCCTTCATAATGGCCGCGCAGGAGGCTCTTCACTCTGCCACAAAAGGTTCTAATTCTGTTCCCACTGTTCTCCTTTTGACCAGGAAAGTGAACCAACACCACTGCCATACTGGACTGACATCATTTTCCTCTTTACCAATCATGTGTGAACTAATAGGCATTACAAAAACGTCTGTGGTAACAGAACAGACAGCCCTGTTCTGAGGGGCAGTGAAAAATGCCCTTTCTTAGGCCGGTGGGCACCATGCCTGCCCATAGTCCCAGTATTTGAATGACTGAGGTAGAAGGCTCTCTTGATTCTGGGGGTGTGAAAGTAGTCTTGGCAACGCAGAAAGCCCATCTCCAAAAAGGATAACAAATATTTTAAAAGTTTAAAGAGTGCTTTGCAGAATAGTTCTCAAGTGGGGGTGATTTGCCCACCTTTCCTCCAACCCAACCCGGAAGACGTTGAACAATGTCTGCAGTTATTTTGGCTGTCTCAATTGAGATGTGAAGGAAGAGGTGCTACTGCTGTTGGTTTCCAGAAGTCAGAAAACTAGGCATCTACAATGCACAGGACAGCCTCCCAAAATAAACAACTATCCTGCCACAGGATCCATGGTGCCAGCTGTGGGCTCCCTTTTCCTGTCTCCACATAAGCAGATCTCCTATTGCCATAGTCATATTCTAAATGGGTGCAGACGATGCTGTCTAATTTATAATTTGTTCTTGTGCTCCATCCCTGTGTTTATATTGATGACAATAGTGGTAGATCTAGGAACTCCCCAAGTATTTGTCACTCAGAATTTTGGGGGTTATTGTGAGCTGAGAAAATCATACTTCGTGAGCATGGACAACACTATTAGAAAGCTCTTCTACAATGAACCTTTTAATAAGATGCTAGTATGTCTACACGGGTATTACCAGGGTAACCACACGCCAGGCATCTCCACTACATCATTTGGTTGCCTGGTACATTAAAGGAAATCAAAGATGAAATTCTGTTGCCACAACTTTACTTTTGTAGTTTTAGACAAGAGACTTAACTCATTGGAGATTAGGTTCCCTTTTTTGTAAAATAGGGATAACAGCACCTGATTCGTAGGGTTGGTACGAAGACAAAAGGGAGCGTGTTAGTGCTGCACCACTCACCACATAATCTATGCTGGATAAATATTAGTTCCCTAATGATATACCATACCCATATGCCCATTGTGAAGTTTGCTTTTCTTGTGCTTCAGCTTTTCTTTTTCTGAGTTGTTCTCGGTCTCGCAAATTCCAAGTTCCAATGAATACTGTAGGAAGAAAAGAAAGTCACTGGAGCAAGAGAGGACATGTGGCACTGGTCAGCAGAAGAGTCCTGTTACCACATGTGGGATCCCTGAGCTGGGTTTTTCTCCTCGATTTTGAGGACAAGGGCCATATCCTCATGCCTCCAGTTACCCATATGTCTCCAGACAACATCTGTGGTACACGTTTAGTAAACATTTTTGACTATAAAAATCAGACACCTATTTAGACCTAGTATTTATACGTTAGTGTCCTGTCAACCTATTAATTTCATATATATTCAACCCTGAACCTAACAATTGAATTTGATTTGGTTCTTATCCAATTTGGCTTACAACCAGAATTGTGGAAAGAATTAAGTTCATGAACCAAGTCACCGCTATATTACCGTGTCTCTCAGGCTGGTGATATTCTGCTATCTTCAGCATAATAGTCTGGTTTTATATTATTCCTCATTTCTATCCAGGCCATCCACACAAAGTTGTAATGATAGCATACCACAAGAATTTTTCACCTTACATTGTATTTGAAGTATTTCCCATGAGATAGTTTCCATAACTGTGATTTTACTATTAATATGGTACTTAATCTAGCCAGTGCATTCCTTTTTACCCAGCATTCGGCTTTATTGAGCGTTTAGGTTGTCACCATCATGTTTTGCCTTGCATATAAAGAACTATTGTAAGCATATTTATTGCATACAGTTTTTTTTCTCTTTCCAGTTTTTCCCTTAGGGTGGTGTTTCTTCAAATTCTTTAAAATATTAAGAGTATTCTCAAGCTGAAGGAGATGGTCCCCACCTGTAATCTGAGCTACTCAGTAGGCTGAGGCTAGAGGATGACAAGTTCATGGCCAGCCTGGGCAGCTTAACGAGGCCCTGGCTCTAAATAAAAAATAAAATGGGATGTGGCTCAGTGGTAGAGCATCTGTGTGTTTAACCTGAGTATTATCAATAAGTTTCTTCTCTCCAAGTTTGAGAAAAGCAAATGGACCGTCCAAGTAGAACCTCTTAGAGCCTGTGGAGTGTTGCATATTTGCACTATGGCAAAGGTTTTTTTTCTCCCCCCTTGTACTAAGTGGACCCAGAGTCTTCTCACCAAGGTATATCCCCCCTACACTCTCTCTCTCTCTCTCTCTCTCTCTCTCTTTTCCTTCCAGTCTTGAAACAAGGTATTGCTAAGTCTCTAAGTTGCCCAGGAAAGCTTGAACTTGCAATCTTCCTGCTTCAGTCTGCAGAGTAGCTGGGATTACAGGTGTGTGCCATTGTGCAGGGCTGAGAATAGGGTTCTTTTTTTCTTTTCCATTTTAATCTTATATTTCTTTGCTTATCTCTTTTTTATTTAATTTTTTTAGTCCTTGCTGACAGTAACAAATGATTATATTCATTATAGTTGGGTACGTGTACATAGCACATCTTTTTTTTACTTCCCCAGCCCCACCTCTCTCCCTCCATCTCTTGGTCTCATACCCATTTATAAATCTATCTCTGTTCCCTATTATCTCTTTTCTTTTGCTCTTTAAGTTGTTTTTACTTTGGGTTTCTCATAGCAGGGAAAACCATGCAACATATAAGCTTGTATGTCTTGATTTATTTCACTTAACATTATTGAAAGACTAGGATTCTTCATAGGAAAAATCATACCTTTATTTTTATCAACTTCTGATTAAAGTTACCATTTCTTAAAGTTATGAATATTGGTAATTCTAGTAGTATATGACTTTTCTATCAAAAGAAATTAAAGTTTTTCATTTATTGCTATTGTTTCAGATCCCTTAAAATATCATTAGACATGATTGGTTTAACACTATGATGGTTAGATCCACCACTGTATTATTTAATGCATCTGTAAATAAACATATATTACCGCATCATAATTTTAAGTTTTGATTATTAATGTAATTGCTCCCTTTGCAATCACATGTGCTTAATTTTATATATTTAAAATGTTTTTTCTAAGAAGGAATATAGACTTCAGCAGAATACCAGTAAGATCCATCAAACCAAAAAGTTATAAAACATTATCTTAGGGTATATCAAGACCTCAGGTTCTGCAAAACATTTTGCAAAATGCCACTTTAGGACAGATCCCAGGACTGAGATTAGGAATCAAAAATATCAGCACTGTTACAGTTCTTATTCCCAGATTGCTTTCCAAAAGCTAGACCACATTTATGCTACCATAGAAGTATAGGTGTATATTTTCATTATCTTTCATTTAAATTGATATGTTATTCATAATTTGTTATAACCTTGTATTTCTCAGTCTGATTAGAATTTTAGCACTAAAAGGCATTTCACGTGGTTAGATAGCCAGGTCTTCCCACCTAAGATTATATAAATGGGTTCCCACCCCCCTTTTTGCAGATCCATAAAGAAGAAGAAAATTATAGCTCCAATTCTTCAAAACAGGCACCACCTCTGAAGGTTTCTTTCTTTACCTGGAGCAAAGGTCTCTCCTTGATGACGATGAGGTGTCTGATGGCGTTGCAAATGAGACTGATCCTCTCCCATGTCCATCTTGCTGCAATACCTTCCTGGTATTTGGTTTGGCTTCCACAAGCAGCCTAAAAGCTTGTTAAAAATATCGAAAACAACTAACAGTTAAAAACACATACACACACATATGTTCACTTGTCACTTAACTTCCCGCCTAAAGGTTTTATCTGGGTGGGCCACAGCTGCAGATGAATTCCCTTTTATCACTTTGCACAAGTGTAAGCAGTGGAATGGCTGGTACTGTGCCCTGGTCCTCAGGCATAGGTTGTTATTTCTACAGGAACCCCTGTGGCATAGCCTGGCACACACAGCCCTCAGAACAGCAGTCTTTTGGTTCTATCTGCCAGGAAGTATCTGAACTCCTTTTTAGGACACACAAAACTGTACTGGAGGTTGTGCCATACAAGCGGTGGCCACAAGGCACTCCTTTTTACAATGTGGAGGTGGCCCAGTGTAGGCAGAACAGTAAATTTCCAGCCAGCCCAGGAACTCAGAGCAAGCCACTTCCTTTTTCTGTGACTCTTCCTTTTTTGCAAAATGGGCAAATAAGCGGCTGTCTTGCCTATTTCATACTGTTCCTAAGAAAGTGAAGATAATGGATGTAAAATTCTAAAGTGTACTGTCTACATGTAAAATTAATCTTTTTTCTTTTTTTTTTCCCCACCCCAAAATTAATCTTTTTTCTGGATGTGTTTCATATGTTGCAAAGTAACAGCACAAATGTATTAAAAAATATGTTGCAAAATAATGTTATGTCTCACTGTGTATGCTGTTAGACAATAAATAAACAAGAACAAAACTAGGAATTGGAAGTACGTTTATACTTTTTGCTCATCCTGTTATTCACAGGTGATTCAAAATAACTAGTGAAATCCACTGTTACTCAGCCAAGGGAAAGTCTAAAAGCATTTCATAAAGAAAAGATCACATTAAAAAAGAAAGATAAAAGAAAAAGAAAAGAAAAGAATCATCACATTATTTTCTAGGAATTAAGCTGAAATCAGAGGAGCTCTCCCATCTCCAACCCGTCATCCCATCTGTGAAGGCAGGCAGCACAGAGGATCATGGATCATCAGAACGAATTCTGAGTGTTTCTTGAACCAGGCAGCCAGCCAGGCAGTCATGGGGTTAACAGTGTGTCCCACAGCCAGATTAAAAGGAAGAGAATTTGTGTTCCACTGTTGCCATTCTGCATCTCATTGACTTTAGGTGAGCTAGACAGTTAGATAGCCATAGAGCTAGTTTGCATATCTGTAACATGAGGACAATATTGATACCTAACTTCATGGATTTGTTGGAATTGTTAAGTCAGATAATCCCTGAAAGGCATTTTATAAATGCCTAGCATATTGAATAAGTGGCACCTAACACATTGGATTTGGCTAGTTTGGTAAATCAAGGCATAGTTTGATGTTTGTTTGTTTTAAGACATGGTCTTACGATGTAGTGCAGGCTGACCTTGAACTCACTTATGTAGCCCAGGGTGACTTTGAACTCATGGCAGTCCTCCTGCTTCAGGCTCCCAAATGCTGGGATCACAGGTGTATGCCACCATGCCTGGGCCAAAGTCATGGTTTAAATACTTTGAAGAAACTCAGAAAATCTGAAGGATTGCACCTGTAATCCCAACACTGTGTGGCTGAGGTAAGAGGATTGTAGATTCAAGCCAGGTCTGGAAAATTTAGCGGTCCTGTCTCCAAATTTTAACATTTTTAATGTAGTTCAATAGGAAGCAGCAGAGAATGGCACAGACCATTATAAACCAGGCATGGTGTCACACATTTGAAATCCCAGCACTGGGAGGCCTGCATAATTTAGTAAGATCTTGTCTCAAAAAGAAAATAAATATGAGAGGCCAAGGCAGGAGGGTTGCTGTGAATTCATGGCCAACCTGGGCTACATAGTGAATTCAAAACCATCCTGCACTTACTCAGCAAGACACTGTAATTAATTAGTTAATCTGTAGATGTAGCTCAGTGGTAATGTATCTATGGGTTTAATCCCCTCCAAAAACCAAAATGGAAACAAACAAAAAAAACCCATTACAGTTCTAATAGGTATACCCTTACATCAATATTGACCCCTTTGAAATGTTTCTTTGTTTCTTGGTCTTTTGAGACAGGGTCTCACTATGTAGCCCAGGTTGGCCTTAAACTCACTATGTAGCCCAGGTTGGCCTTAAACTTTCACTGATCTCCTGCCTCAGCATCCTGAGTAATGAGATTACAAGTACTCCACCATGCTCGCTTGTTTGTTTAGTTAACAGTACTTGAAATTGAACTTAGAGCCTCCACACTGGGTTATTTTTATTTTTATTTTTAATTTGGAAATAGGCTCTTGCTGAGTTGTCAAAACTGCCCATGCGGGACTTTAATTTTCTATCCTCCTGCCTCAACCTTCAAGAATCCTGGGATTATAGGCATGTATCACCAGGCCTAGATGGATGTTTTAATTCTTGCTATTTACAATAGTTCAATAAAGTGACTTTACAGAGTTGTCCTAGGATACTTTCTGAAGATACAGAGATACTTCTTTAATAGGATTATCCTTACAGTTTGTAGTAACCTGTACAACAATTCAGCAAACCTGGCTGAACACAAGTAAAGCTATTGGGCTACACAGGTGAACAGTGTAGAACCTGAGCTCTGTGCGCTGTGAGCTGATGGAGGAGAGAACACATACATCTTTACTGTAAAAAAATAATATTTATATTCTTCAGGCCCTATAACAGCTTCCTAAGTGGACTGCTCCCCTGTCCAGTGTTCCCATGTGTAGAAGCAGAGTGTAGAGGGACTAGAAGAGGTGGAGCCAACTCAAATCAACAGGAAATTGAGGGCAATGCTGGGTGGAGGGCACTAATGGGACCCTTCGGAGCAAACAAGATTGGAAGTCAGGCTGGTGTCTGTGGTGTGATAACAGACCAGAGCGGGAACTTGGGACAGAAATAGCCATACTGGCCATTCATAAGCCGTAGTTTGTGGTCTTTCCTATCAGAAAAAAAGTCTGTAGAGTTAGCACCTCTCAAAATATGAGATATTAAGCATCAAAGCCTAGATACTTTAAACATACACCATCTTTTTCTATGTGTATGTATATATGAAAGTTTCCTCTAGGCTACAAACTTTTGCAGGGCTTTAACCCTCTTGAAACATCTTTTTGTATAGTGCGGTCTCATGGCAACTTGGCCCTCACTCTTGGATGCATGGCCAGCTTTGTGGCCATGCAGCCAGGTCGTAGTTCATAGTGTTGAGGAGCTGATGTTGCTGCAATACCATCATCTTTCCTGAAGGTCTTTCTACAGTCATTCATCTTACATGCTGGAAATACAGCAAATAAAAGGCAAAGCCCCAGGCTGGAGTTGTAGCTCAGTAGCTCAGTGGTAGAGAGTGCTTGCCTAGCAGGCATAAAGTACTGGATTCTAATCTCCACCACCAAAGGAAGAAAAAAAGTTTGTGCTCTTACTGAACCTACATTTTAATGAGGAAGATAAACAATAAGCTGAATTTGTGTCAAATGGTGATAAATACTTTGAAGAAAATTGGCCAGAAATGATAGGAACATACGGGGAAGGTTGATGGTAACTGCTATTGTTTTCCTTTACAGGGTCTCATTAGGTTACCCAGGCTGATCTCAGACGAGCTCTCAAGTGATCCTACTTCAGCCACCTGATTAGCTGGAACTATAGACATATGCTCATGTACCCGGGCTGCCCTTTCAATAGTGTGGCCTACTATGGCTTGACTGTACCTGGTGAGCAGAACAGAAGGAGGAACTAGACCAGCCCTGCTGATATCTGGGAGGGCTTCAGGCAGAGGGCACTAGCAGTGGTGTACAAGAGGGAGTGGCAGGAAGATGGGATCAGAGTGTAGCTTGGTGCCCCTAGTAGGGATTTCTGCTCTGCATGACATGGATAGGGATGGGATCAGTGGAGTGATACAGACCTACTTGAAAGTAGGATTATTGCAGCTACTGTGTGGGATAGGGAGGTGGTGGGAGCAGGGAGACTGATCAGAAAGCCTTTGCAAGGGCTGGGAATATGGCTTAGTGGCCTAAGCACCTGCCTGGCAAGTGCAAGGTCATGAGTTCAATCCCCAAGACCAAAAAAAAAAAAAGAAAAGAAAAAAGAAAAGTTATAGGTCAGAAAGCCTTTGCAGTGATCCAGGTGGGAGACAACTATGGCTTGGACTGTGATGGTAATGGAAAGTGGTGGTGAGGTTCAGGGTTGAGGTTTGGTCTGAGCAGCTGAAAGGACAGAGGAAGACGGGCAGGAGCTTGCTTGGCAGAGATGATCAGGGAGCTGCTTTTGGATGTATGAACAGAACAGGGAGAACACAGCAAAGGAGCAGCCAATGGAACAGAGGAAAACCAGAAAAGTCTTGTGTCTGGAAAGCGAAGTTGAAGAAATTTTTTAAGAAGTGATTAATCAAACTATCAAAGTTTGCAAACAGGTGAAGTATCAAAAAGATTGAGAATTGACTTATCAATGTATTTCCGATAATCTAGTTCAATGAAATACAAACCATGATGCTCAGAGAGGTTAAATGGAGTCTTAGCCAAGGGTGTACAGGTTAAACCCGCTACACAATTTGCTGAAGCCCAGCACAAAATGAAAATGCTGGGCTTTTCCTTCAGAACTTATCAAGAATTTCAAGATGACAACAACAGAAACCCAACACAAAGTCCTACTTTTGCAGGTGTTTCACTGGATCCTCATAGCATACAGGATAATAAAGCAGCTATTATTATGCTCATTTCTCAGATTGAGAACCTGGTGTCCAGTATGGAGTAACATAACTAAGGTCACAGAGAGTGGTAGTTTGAGCCTGAAAACTGAACCGTCAGTCTCCGGATCTGGCCCTTTTCGTACTAGAGCAAGCTAGGTGTTAGAGAAGGGAGTTGCTGTCCCTCCTCCTGTCCACATAGAGCAGCTGTAGGGATCAAGTCTTGTCTGTGATACACAATGTATGTACCACTGTTGCCCCCTGATTGATGTGTTTCAAAGTTTTCTTTTCTTTGTTTTCTCTCTTTGAAATAAAATGGATTTGAAAAAAAAAAGAAACACTTATCTGTGCAATTCAGAGGCTTGACAGAACTGGCCAGATGAGGGAGGGAAGAAAGCCCATTTCCAAGAACTCCTGCTCCAGGGGTCTTTATGCCGGGGATAATGAGGAAGCAAAGCAAAAACAGCTCCACCCATATAGTGCATACAGTTTACTGGTCCAGGCTCTGATGGTAGAATTTTAGAACCCCCAGCCAGGCAGAGGAGAGTGCAGCCACACTTTGACTTGTCAGGCCCCAGCGAGGGTGTTGTACTGCGCAGCCCACGTGAGTGCTTTGAAAGCATGCACTGAAAAGAGCAAGGGTAGAGGGATTGGGGGAATATCTCAGTTCTTTCTGATCCTCAGTTTCTTTCCTTGTAAAATAGAAAAGGAATGCCTCACAGGAATTCTGTGAGGACTAAAGAGATTATGAGAGCTTATTTTAAAATGAAAAAACACTGATGGAAGGCCTGTAAACTTAGGCACTGTTAATAGCATTATCTAGAGTGTTCTAATGATGCATCTCGGCATTTTCCTAAAATACCTTTGCTTACAAAACCAAGGGAAGGGAAGGCAGCATGCACTTGTTTATCTTTGCACTCCTTCCTGGCTAAAATACTTTCTCAAAGCTTCTGAATACTTCTCAACAAATGGATGGTGCTTTGTTTTCCCAAGTAGGAGAGGAGAATTTCTTGTTTCCCGCTCTCAGTCTGCAGTCGTGTGATAAATAAGCTCTGTCTCTGCTAACACAGATGCTGCTGTACACATACAGATAATGTGTTCTATAATTTCAGAATGGCGGGAGCCCGGCTTCCATCTAATTTCTCCACAGCCCCCTCTCTGGCCTCCTCCAAGTAATTGCCTTCTGTTAACCACTGAACAGTTTACTCTGAGGGTCACTCAGGCACTGTGTTTGTTTACATACGGACCACCCCTGGCACTGCCCAGGTTGGTGTCATAATCACCAGTTGATTATTGTTTGCACAAGATACAGTGATACATGTTTATTTGTTTTATATTAACTATTTTTGCATACTTTTTAATTAGAACATTGTATTCACCCTTGATGTTTGTTTCTAGCAAAATTAGTAAGTTCTGATTATTTTCTTTTACTGATTTGTGTTTATTTTGTGAAAAATAACCTGCAATTTTGTGATACAATCTATAAAAGCTCTTATCATAAAGGTATTAGATATAATTTTTGTACTTCTCCAGAACTCAGTGATATTCTCTTACAATGCAAAACAGACAGATTTGGGACACTGAGACTGAATAGGAAGGAAGGGCCAAGAGATCTGCAAAAGAAAAACTGAAAAAGGGAAAAATATTAGCATATCAGAGAGGAAAAGTCTGTGTTATGAAATGGAAATACAAAAACGATATCACCTTATTGCCAGCTATTCATAATACAGAAATGATAGAACTTAAAAGAAGAAATTTAACTTAAAAATTTCCTAACAGTGGTTAATGATTATAGTAATTCCATGGGTGGTTAAACCCTCAGAGTTGACCAACATCTAACAAGCTATCCTGTATCAAAAAGAAAGAAAAAAAGTATTATTATAAAATATTTATGTACCTTCTGGACCGAACAATATAGAATTCTTTGTTAATTATTCAAAACAAGAGGGCTCTAAAAGTCATTAACAATTTAGATTAAGTCTAATAGACCAAATAATTGAGAAATACCAGGTAGCAAACACCAACCAGGATGTCCATCATCAATGTTTTCACCGTTATGTTTAGTGGTATACATATTATTGAAATTATGTCATCCAGAGGAAAAAAAAGAAAAACTCAGCAGTGTAAATAAAATGTTATTCAAAGAAAGATAATAATGCAAAAAGAATCTGGAAAGATACTGGATGCTACTGTCTAGATTGTAGCACTGCATTGTGTATTTGAAAAATTATTCAATAAATTGACAAAATTATCACTTTTATATTTCCTATTATCATATAAAAATAAATGAAAATATACAAATTTTGGTCATCCTGTATTTAAATAGACTGGCCAGTGGCTAAATTGTATACAAGGACTTGGGAGGCTTGGAAGGAGGATTGTTGTAAGTTTGAGACCAACCTGGGATACAAAGTAAGCTTAAAGCCAGGTGAACTGCATAGCGAGACCCTGCCTCAAAAAGACCAAAAGAAGTATATACAAGTAATGATCTCTGACTAATCATGGGCAAGTAAATCTTTGCCTGGGAAGGGTAATTTTGCTTCCTCCTTGGGCCACCATCCTATCTCTGTCCTTTTGCCTGGGAACTTCTGGAACCACACTGTGTTCTCAGGACCTGTTCCCACACCACTTCCTTCCTTGGCACTACAATCTAGTTTTTGCTTCCCATGTTATTCTCTCCTAAGTCATCAGTGATTTCCTAGTGGCCAATCCCAGCATTCCCTGTCGGCAGCTCAGGATTCCTCTGAACACTGAAAACACACGCTGCTTTGTTTCCGTACAGGGGTGTTCTTCATCTCTCTCCTCCTCCTTGCCCAGAGGGTCCTCTTTAACTCTTCTAGCTATGAGAGGTGTTTTCTAAAGAAGAACCCCTTGTCCTCTGGATGGTCATCCTCAGACAGCTGATCCAACTGAATACTTTACAAAGTATAATCAAAATGTAATGTAATGTAAAGTGTAAAATTTTTAAAATGTATTACAGTTAAATTGCCATTAATCTTCTTCACAGTACTTCCTTCAAAAAAAAGAAAACAAAATACTTCCCCTCACTTCAGACCACTCATCCCATAGTTCTTGCTACTTTCTGAAGCAGCTCTGGAGTCCTGTGTCTTTACAGGATGTGAACAATACAGCCAATGCTGCTGCTGAGTGCCATCCAGCAGAGAGCTTGTGAAACACTACAGTGAGCCAGGCTTGGTAGTGCACTCCTGTAATCCCAGCCCTCAGGAGGCTGAGGCAGGATCACTGTGGGTTCAAGGCCACCCTGGGCTACATAGTGAAACCCTGTCTCAAAAAAAACCAAACCAAAACAAAACCATTAGCGTATCGTCAGCCACCTCATTCACAGAATCTGCCACTGTGCAGCTTCTGGCTCTTCGTGAAGTCAAAGTGGCTGAGAAAGCTAAGCGTTTTGAAATGATGCAGAACATCAAGGCAACCACAGCAGTGCAACTAAGGAGAAGGCTCAGTGTGGCTTCAGGAAAGCAGCTGTGGGGAAAGGCTCACCGCGCTGCTCAGGACAGCCTCAAAGAACAAGGGGGTCGGCGCACCTGAAATAACGGGATTAACTGCAGTGCATCTCTTTAAAATTTTAAAGATGTAAACATTCAGTATTTTTATCCTATCTCGTGCATCCATCCAGATATTCATAAACATGTAATAATAACATCATATTTTTAAGTGTCTCCTGGTTATCATTCATTACCTAGAGATCTGGTGGCACCTCACACTTAGCAGAGCTAAAGAAACTCCCTCAGTTTTATGTCCGCTGGAGGAGCAGCACAATGGTCCTGGCCATCTGGTTGCACAGCCTCAGAGCTGTGCTTGACTCTGTGTCCTCACAACTTCATAGAAACCAAGAGCAGAGTGAGTTTCCAGGAGGATACTCAGATCTCACGTGGTTCTGTCGATTGCTTCTCTCTGTGTCCCACATGGTCACTTTTCTCCCTTCCATACCACTGTGGTGTGCCACTACCACAGAGAACTTCAGCCTCTCAGTGGCAGCACCGGAAAGGTTTCTCAAGCGGTACAACATCTTCCATCTCCTCTCACACTCCCAAGCCCGCTCTCAGAATCAGAACATTCATCCTGTAGCTGGCTCTGACCCAGTCATTACCCTGGTTTTCAATACTGGAAAGTCTCAGTGTTGTCTGAAGAATAGACTCAATGTTTTGGTCTAAAGTTAGAGGCCACTTCTTCCCAGCTGCTTTCCTGAAACTACTCTGTGTCTCAAATAAAACCGCACGCCTCGCCTTCTCTCCCCGGCCAGGCCTGCGAGACGGCGCCCTGAAGCTCCGGGCGCCAGTCTCGACTTCCGGGAGAACATGGCGGACAGATAACAGCAACTACCGGAGGCTCTCTGAAAGACTCGGCTCAGAAGCCAGGAATGGTGCGGACTAAGGAGACATAAGTCGGTGGAGATATGCTCTGCTGACTCAGGAACGAACTGGGCTGAGAGAAGCCAACTTGGAATGCAGTCCTGCTAAAACAGGAACAGAAAAGACTTGGTGTGGAGGCTGGAACCGCGCCATTGTAAGCCGCGATTTGGGTTTCCCGCCGCGCGGCGGCTGGCTGCCTCTACAGCGGCTCGGCAAGGAGAGAGACGCGCGGAAGCTCTGAGAAGGGCAATCTGCGAACGGCAGGGAGGTGTGCACTGACTTGTGGTGAGGTGAGTGAGAGAAACTGACACTCTACCACAGTTTGACTCCAGCAGAGGACTTTCTGGGCCCGGGCAGTCCTGCGGGAGCAGGGCGCGGTGGGACTCCAGCCACACATCCCCCTCTCGGGCGGGATTGGTGAAAAGTGCCTGGCCTGTGTGACGCTGCCGGCGGACCTGGTAGGCTGTCCCAACCCAGATCCCAGAGCCTGACGGTGGCCAGGAGGGGTGACGCGTAGGCTGCCTGGTCCGTAACTCCCTGGTGCGCAGCGGTGAGCGGGAACACCTAACTGGCGCAATTCGATCAGGCTGTGGCTGACTGGGAGAGAAGCTGGGTCTCTTATATAAGCTTGCATATATAAGGAACAGAGAAGAAGAGGCAGCATGGGAAGAGGCAGCAACAAGAAAGGCTCCTCGGCCCCCAATTCTGAGAAACAGGCAATAGCAGACACCACACCAATACACATAAGGCACCATATAGAGAGCCTCATAGACCAATTCAGGAATGAAGTTATCAATGACCTGAAGCTAGAAGTATGCAGAATAGTTAGAGAAATGCTAAGTACCACCCAAGAAAAAACAGGTGGTGGAATGGAAGAACAGAAAAAAAGGGGAGAATTGTTTGACGGAGAAAACAGAGAAAGCATAGAATACGTGAAGCAGGTTCAAAGGGACTACCAAGATACTAAGAAGTCTATAGAAGACTGGCATAACAGCTTGAAAGAAACTAAGGACAGACTATCTGAACTGGAGGGCAGACTTGTAATATGGGAGAATGAAATGAAAAACTTCTTAAAAATAACAAAGAAACAAACAGCAATAATACAAAGACAAGAAGATGATAAGAGGATCCATAACTTAAGGATTAAGAACATAAAAGAAGAAGTAGGGACACAAACAAGTGAACTACAAAAGCTACTCACAGAAATAATCCAGGAGAATTTTCCTAATTTAGCAAAAGGTAAAGATACTCAGATGTATGAGGCATACAGGACCCCCGCTACCTACAACCCAAACAGAGCAACACCCAGGCATATAATAATAAAAATTCCAGAAATTCAATACAAGAACAGAATATTAAAAGCTGTAAGAGACAAGAAACAGACCACCTACAAGGGAACACCCATCAGAATTACAGCAGATTTCTCTGCACAAACCATCAAATCACGAAGAGCGTGGGGGGAAATAATTCAAGCATTGAAAGATAATAATCTCCAGCCAAGATTGAGATATCCTGCACAACTGTCCCTGGAAATTGATGGAAAAACAAGGTGCTTCCAGGATAAAGAGGAACTGGGGGAATTTGCAACCACCAATTCAACTCTACAGAGAGTATTGCAGGATATTCTAAAAAAAGAAAAATACAAAGAATCCAGAAATAATGGCAGAGAGGCCACAACGAATGGAGCAGAGAACAAAATGAAGAAGACAAACTGACAGCTACGGACAGAAAAAGAGCTTAACAGAAATGAGGCAGAGAAGATTGGATGATAGGAACAGCTATTTTGGAGAAAATGACATCTTAATAGGTAATACAGATTTAGTATCATCTTGTTTTGAAGTCTCATCTAGCTTTTGTCCTTCTGTCTCCAATGGTCTAAATAGGCTGTATCTTATTGGATTTTATTATGTACGATAGTATAAGCAAAAACCTTTTAAAGACAAGGAGATTATACAGAAACCATTGTTCATTTTGTTAGTTGATTCTAAATACTCTGTAATGCTGTCATTCTCTTGAATGGTTTTACATTGTTTTGATATACTTAATGCTACAGTATACGAAGTTGTACTCAAGGATTTCAAAGAAAGAAACAATATGGTAACTACTTTTAGGTTAGGATTATCTGGTGGTGAAACACTATTCTGCTTAAATGGTTATGTTTTGATCTGTGCTGTTTCGTTGTTATGCCCTCTTTTATCTCAATCTCCACTCCATTATTTACTTTTTTATCTTTATCCTTTTAATTAAAGGAAAAAAAATAGCAGGATATATTATAGTAACCCACTTTGACTTTTCATTACCTTGATTTAAAGCCCTGTATTACTCTCACCATCTGGTTTTTAACTGATGTTCCCCTATTCTGTTTTGCTGGATAGTATCAGGTTCGAAAGTTTAGGCATCAGCTGTGAAGATAATGAGATTCATTATGACGCCCATTCTTGTTGACTTTTGTCTACTTTTGAAGACCTACAATGTCTCCAATGTTTTGGTTTTGTCGGTTTTGTTCTTTACTGTTTTGTTCAATTGTATTATAACTAATGATATAGGCAATTCTATTAGAGATAGTGGGAGGCATTATGGTAACCATTGTTGATCACCTTGTATTATGTTTTTACATTATCTATTATGTCCACCCTTTTGACTTGACCGATTCTGTTCTGTTATGTCACATTTGGTTATACTCTCTTCCAAAAAAGCAATAAGAACCGTGGGAGCAATGAAACCCAAAATGTGTAATAGTCATGGTACAAAAGAGAGGAAAAGAAAGTGCTCCAAACTATATAACTGCATGTATATTTAAGTGTATAAGATAGAAAATGATATCACAGAGTTTTATTGGATCAATGAACAGAACTGTTTGCAGTATCATTGATGGAATGTCCACTTTACAAGCTCTAATTTTGTGACTTGAACAATTATTTCTAAGATGACAATATGTAATCCATTAACTAGTGATTTCCTACTGTTCATTTTTTTTCTGTAAATCTGTATAACTTGTACCCTTTCCCTGCTTTTTTTTTCTTTTCTCCTTAAATAAAATTTAAAAAAAAAAAAAAAAAAAAAAAAAAAAAAAAAAAAACCGCACGCCTCCCTGGTTTGCACAAATCTTTCCAACTCCCGCCCTACCTTTTGCAGACCTCCTGGGTGTTCAGTGTTCTGCTCTCTTTGGAGCCATCCAGACAGTAAGTGCTGGCTTACATCACAAAGTGTCTGGTGATGGTGGTGGTGATGATGATACGTTAGCCACTCCACAGCGTCACAATGGATACCTGGCACTTTATGTGCATCATCTCATTTATTTCTTCCAAGTAACATTAACCTCATTTCACTGGTAAAGAAATTGCTGTTATATCTCTAGACAACATAAATGCATATGTGGTAGTGTTAGGGCTCAAAACAAGGCTGTCTGGTTCTAAAGTTCCCAAATTCATTTTCCTTAAATACTGGAGAGAGAATTCAGGGACACTGTAGATTACATTCCCAGACCTTTTTTGTAATTAATTAAGTTTACAGGTACATTTTAGGTATACATAGTGATCACATTCATCATAGGGAATTTGTACCTGTGTATATCTCAATTTTTTTTTCTCCATTCCCTCCTCCTTTTTTTTTTTTTTTTTTTAATTTAAAGACAGGGGCTGGGGATTTAGCTCAGCGGCATAAGCGCCTGCCTTGTAAGCAGGCAGTCGTGAGTTCGATCCCCGGTATTTTTATTTATAAAAAATAAATAAATAAATAAATTTAGAGACAGGGTCTTGCTATGTAGCCCAGGCTGGCCTCAGACTTGTAACATTCCACCTCAGCCTCCTGACCTGCCTCAGCCTGCTGACCTCCTGCCTCAGCCTCCTAAGTATCTGGGATTACAGGCTTAACCACTATTTACAACTACTGTTTCCTACCTAGAAGCAATTTGTCTTTTCTGAGCTATATATGATACCTGCTTTGAGCCTCTTTTTTGGTAATATAAAATATATTTTTATTTTATTGTTCATGTATATACTTCTTTTCTACTATATTCATTTATTTCTTCTTTTTTCTACTACATTCACTTAGCAAATATTATTGAGCACTTATTTCTTGATAACTCCTTTGCTAAGACTTGAAGAAGAGAAACAAGAGTCTTTTCCATCAAGGAAATCACAACTTAACTGAGAGTGGTAGGCAACAAATAAATTTTAATTTAGATATATGCATACATCGTGATAACTTTAATATCAATATTTTTAAATATTTCAAGGATAGAGAATGCTTAATGCTACTACTGGATTAGAAAGATAAGGCAGCCTGTAATGGTGGATCATGTCTCTAATCCCAGCTCCTGAGAGAGGCAGGAGGATCACTGCAAATTCAAGGCCAGCCTGAACTACACAGTAAGACCCTGTCATAGATAGATAGATAGATAGATAGATAGATAGATAGATAGATAGATAGATAGAGACAGACAGACAGAGACAGAGACAGAGAATGGCAGACATAGTAGTGAAATACCTATGATCCCAGCACTTGAGAGGCTGAGGCAAAAAGATAGCTGTAATTTCGAGGCCAGCCTGGGCTACATAATGAGTTTAAGGCCAGTTTGGACTACATAGCAAGGCTGTGTCTCAAGTAAATAAAGAAGAAGAGGAAGAGGGGAAGAAGAGAAAAAGAAAATAAGGCTATTACTCATGTACCCTGTGATATTTATTAGTTTACATTCCTAGTTGTCTTTGAATGACTTTGGCTTAAAATACAGGTGCTCTGTCTGTCTGTCTGTCACATATATATATATATATATATGTTTTTCCACTTTTCTTTCATGGGAATAATAATAGCCAATATTTATTATGCACTTGCTTACTATATCTCAGGCACTGTTTTAAGCAGTTTGTATTCATTTAGTCTTTACAACATCCTTTAAGGTAGGCACTTTTTTTGAAATGGGGAGGTCTCACTATGTTGCTCAGAATAGTTTCAAACTCCTGATCTCAAATAACCCTTCTGCCTCAGCCTCCACTGACTTAGCTCAGTCACTGTTGCTGAGATTCCTATTTTACGGAGGAAGCCACTGAAGCACAAGAATTTAAACCTGGGTCCTAAGTGTGTTTCGAGACAGAGTCTCACTATGTAGTTCAGGATGGCCTATGTTGTAGCTCAGGTTAGTCTTGAATTCATATTGAACTTCCTACCTCAACTTCTCAAATGCTGGGATTATAGACATGTGCCATTATGCCCACCTGGTGTCATTTTATAGATAAAGAGATTGTGACCCATAGAGAAATCAGTGTCACATAGACAGTGGCAATGAAACTGAAACCCAGATCCTCTGATGGCTTGATATGGTTTATGTCAGATGCTACTGCAGCCCACAGTCTCATGCAACCATGGACACAGCTGAATCCAGCATTTGTGATTGGTTCATTGTTTGGCACTGGGATTGGTGGTGTGACTGCTCTACCCTCCCAGGGGTGGAGCCAGCATACAGTGTAAGAAGGCGTCTTTCTCTTTTTTGCTGTTGGCACTTGCTGTTTGTGGCTGCCATGAACTGCTTCCCCTGAGACATATCATTTTGTCTTAGAGCCAACTGAGTATGGACTGAAACCTCCAATCTGTAAGAAATAAACCTTTCCTTCTCTAACTTTGGGCATCAAGTATTTTGTCTCAACAACAAGAGACAAAAGTAACTAAGACACAGCTCTACTGTATTCCCTTCATCTATCTGGCATTCTAAACTCACTTGTCTGAGAATCAACCACCTTATTCTCTGGCATAGGGAAGCAGTTCCAAAACTTTCCAGTCATTAACACTTTGTCTTCCTGAGATTTGCCATATCCTTGTAATAACATCTCCTATATTACTAGTCACTTAATATTCTAAATAAACTCTTGATTACTTTATTTAAAATAAAATTTTATAGCACTGCTGTAAGTAGAAAACCAATAACATCACGTGAAACTATAGATTTTGGTATAACAAATTATATTTATTCTAAGACACATTAAAATATGAGCTGTTAGAATAATATTTTATATCCAGAGTTGTCCACACTACCTCAAGTGGCATATGGCCACAGCTTGGCAAGTACTGACCTATGTAATTAAACAGTGAATTCTTTTATTTTCAAACTTCCTTATTATGTCCAAATCTGTCCTTAAACTGAATTGTTCTTTGCAGAGGATATTTTAATCTTTTCTTTCTTGTTTCATTGGTTTTTTGGTTTTTGTTTTTTGTTTTTTTTTGGTGCTGGGAATTCAACACACAGTCTTCATACTAAGCTATGTTCCCATCCCTTTTCATTTTTTAAAAAAAATTAATTTTATTGGTACATTATATATAGAGATAGCTAACATTCATTATAGAGAAATTGTACTGTACATCATCTATCTTGATTCTTCTTTTTCTCCCTTCCCCTCCCCTACTTCCAATCCCCTTCCTCTCCTTATTTAAGAAAGCATTGTTTCCATTTTTCCCATTCTATTCTCTTTCCCTTTTTCCCTTCCTTTTCCCCTCTCCCTTTTTATTTATTTGAGACAGGGTCTTCATAGGTTGCCCAAGATGATCTGGAATTTGTGATCATCCTGGCTCAGGCTCCTAGTGTTTGGGATTACAGGTGTGCAGCACCACACCTGGCTGCAGCAGCTAGACTATAATCAGAAGAGACAGCACAAAGGACTAAGCACTCTCTATGACTTGCCATGTGGCCACTGTCATTCATTTAGTTACTCTCAATGAGGTCTCTAGTTGAATACCTGTCTGTCCTATCTTAACTGATTTCTTCATGCCTTGGAGTTTTAGCTTTCATGCATAAAATATATATTAGAATCCAACATGATGGGCAGCTCCATTTATTTGGAAATTTCAACATTCTCCTCCCAGCATTCTGTCCTGATTTGGGCGTCAGAGTTGGAAAAAACTTACACCCTTCCTGAAAGGGACTGCTGCTGGCAAATATCATCCTTTCTAATGGTTCATTTCCCATACCTTACCAGAGTCTACCAGAGGTGCAGGTGCCGCGGGCTAGAGCTGCTGCCACTAAGTGGACATGAATGGCAACTGCACCGGCCTGGCCTGCCAGAGCAGTCTGAGCTCCCGCACCACCCACCTTCCTTGAAAGGCCGCCTGCCTTGCTCCCCATCCTCGTGCCACCTTCTGTTTTCCCTCTCTGCAAGTCCCCGTCTGGGTGTTTGCATACCAAAACTTAGCTAATTGATATTCTATCACAGTCTGCTCAACACATTATTTTGTGACACTTTGGTTGTATTTTTAGCCAGGTAGGACAGGAAGAGAGAGTGCCTTCGGCAGGCACAAAATGTATTTCCAGGTCTTTCTTGCCCATCTAAGCATCTGTGAGTACCTTTAAGGGAGTCAAGGATCTGATCTGATCTGTTTTTCTCAGTGTATCTCATGAGAAAATTCAGTGTGAAGATACAGAATCCCTTTGTGTTCCTCTCGGTTCTCCCTTTATTGGTAGCAGTCTTCTCACTCTAAGGAGGCTGAGCTTGCCCAGGAGTGGTAGACACCTGTGTGGGTGTCAAAGAGCAAAGCCACATGTTCCACTGGAAGTGAAGGAGGTGGAAGGCCCTTCTAGACTTCAGTGGAAGGTCTTCTGTCAGCCAGAAACTCGTCTTACTCTTATGTTTAAATGACAGGTTGTTCCTGGTAATCAGAGGAGAGATTAAGACAAACCTGAAGAGAATAGCAATCCTCAAAGACTGCTAGGAACACCTAGAATTACTTACAATTTTTCTACCTGAAGGGCCTTGGACCTCTTGATGAAACTAAAACAGGATGTGATACATTGTAACTCACATAACTTTCGTTATTAAAATTGCAGACAGTAT